TTTCAGACTTGCCAGGCACCAAATCCTTAAGATAAATCTCTCTGTATATACACACATCCTATATGGCCCTCTCTCTCGTTCTCTATAGTCTCTCTGGGTGACAAACTACAGCAGGGGCTCAGGAAAGGTAACGTCTCGATGTCATACTCCAAGGGGGAGGCAGTGCAGGCATTCGGACCCAGGCCAGGTCAGCTCCAAAGTCATGTTCTTAACCAAACAGGACAACAGCCCTTCCACCCTGGACTCTGGGGGACTGAGTCAGACGATGCCCCAGATCCAAGTGTCTGAGGTGCCTAACTCCACAGACCCCTCCAGGTGAGGACAGCGGGAGGGAAAGGGCACATCCCTTTTATCAAGGCTGCCCAAAGGAGCCTCTCCTCAGCCCCTCCTGAGTCACGGGGGCCACATGGGGTGTCACCTCTCAGGGGGAGATTTGATTAGTTTGATTTGGGTTTCTAGTTCATCCTGACAACCCGCAGTCCAGATGCAGGGCTGGGAGGCCCCAGGAAACTTCACTGGTATGTCACAGCGCCACCTACTGCTCCATTGGAGGGTCAGCTGCAGTAACCGAATGCCCCCTGCTCTCTGAGGCCAGGACCTTATCCCCATTTTACAGATTGGCAAACAGAGCTTTTGCTCGCCACTTTCCCCCATTCGCTCAGTCATGTGATAGATGCCAGGCATGATGCCAGATGCTGGGGGTTCAGAGAAGCCAGTCCTCCTCAGAGGGATTGACAGACAAGTAGGGGAAAAAACAGTAAAGACAGAGGTGGAAAAGAGTAGAGTGGGCACACCAAAGGGAGGCCAGTTGTCGTGGGAAGGAAAGGCTTCACCGAGGAGATGCTGGTGATGGTGGGCTGAGGTTTTGAAATTCTGGAGGCGTCTGCCAGGCTGATGGGAGGGGCCACGGGGGATCATTTGATTCTCAAGTCAGGACTCTTCCCCAAGCACAGAAGGACAGGGGCCGGAAAGGACATCTTAGCGAGCAAAAGATGTGTTTGGCGGAGTGGGACTTGAGAGCAGGGTGTAAGATGGGATCAGTCGCACACAGGGGGCAAATGGGTCAGGATTCGGGCCCCAGCCTCGCACGCAGTTGGCCCCAGAGCCACCTGGGGCACCTCTGCCGGTCCCACCATGGAGACCGTGCTCCGCCACGCTAAGGAGTCTGAACACGTCTCCCCAACAACGGGGAGTCCCGAGGAGCTGTTAGGTTAAGCCAGTGCGTAAAATGATCTGACGTGCTTGGGAAAGACAACCCTGCAGAGTGAGGATGGGGTGACACCAGAAGCAGGGACCATCCTCTTAGGGATGATCATCGCAGCAAGGGATGCCAACTCTCTGACCTCCAGCAGCGGGGGTGGGGAACGAGAGGCCAGGAGAGACGAGAGATCTGGGGACACAGACTCAGTTGAGCTGGGTGATGAACTAGAGGTACAGAGAGAAGCCAGTGGGGTGACCAGATGACTCCCCGGTTTGGGGTCGGTTGATGGTTCGTGGACATGAAATAAAAGGAGACTTGGAAGACAGGATGATGAGGTTGTTCCTGACGTGTTAGCCTGGGGGATTCCCACCTGTAGCTGCTGGAACATTGCTTGGATGAGCAGAATAAAGACCAGTGACTCCAAGTTGGCAGGGAGTGGAGAATTCCTCAAGGGGATGAGGCCGTGATGGCATCATTCCTACATGGCTACACTGTCAGAGACCCCCTACTTGAGCTGCACAAGGCGGCGTCCAAACCAGCCCAAGACCTGGTGCCTTCCACCAGCATTTTGTCTCGTGCTTCTGGGCCTGCGGTGACCGTGGTTTGGCTGGGCAGCCGACTTAGGCTGCGGGTCAGTGGGCTTTGCTTCAGGGCGGGGTCCCATCTGTTTCCCGCGTCTGTCGCTCATGCCGCGTGATCCTCCGAGATACGGTGGCTACTCAGGACACCATCTAATGATGACAGCGGCACCCAGGAGGGCTGATGACCACGCACGGTTCGCCTGAAGGCCTCGGTCGCTCCACCTGCACACGGTGGCGGTTGCCTAGCTTTTAAAGCAAGGTCTCAGCATGGCTGACGCCAACCAACATGACCAAGCCAGTCATGCGCTGCAAGCTCACGGGGCAGACGAACGAGGAACTGAAAATGTCCAGTGTACCACAGCCAGGGAGCACCTCCCTGTTACCCTGTGTGCTCTTTTCTCGCTCCCTGACCCAGCCTCAAATGGCCTCCTGGCCACCTGCCCGGTGCTATAACGCAGCACCTTTGGGTTCATTTCCAGATCTTCCCCCAAGCTGTGTGATCTTGGAAACGTCAGGTTCCTTCTGAGTCTCCATCATCTGCTAAAACCTCACCTCCTGAGACTGTCATAAAGATTACATGGGATGATGTGTAAGAAACACCTTGTCCTGCTCAGGGACCAGCGAAAGTCCTCCCTAACCCCACAGATCTCTCAACAACTACCACGTGTCCTGCGGACTCTTCAACAGGTGGCATCCAGTGGTTTCGAGACACAAGAGAAGTTGCTGGAAGTCTCTGGAGAAGTACTGATCAGATCTCCAGTCCTGTTGATTCCAATTCACGTGGAGGGGATTGCTTTAGGTGCCCCAGATGATTCTAAGGCACCCCCACTGGCGTCTAGCACATGCTCAGCACTTACTTCACTAGTTCACCGGTTTCGTGGGTTAAAGACTCAGGTGTGAGTCCTCGTAACCTTCGGAAGGAGGAAGGGAGGCCCTCTGTCCCCAGGCAGGCCCGCGCCGCATGGACGGTGCTGTAGTGTCTGTCCGTGTCTGCTGTCCCTGGGCGTCCAGAGTCTGTTTCACACTCTGCTAACACAGATGCAAACGGTTTTATGTACCACGTTTAGCCTTTGTGATGGCAAATACGACACACAGCCACCAGAGATGAAGAACGTTTCACAAGCAGCCACGGCCAGAGTAATGAACAGGTCTGTTTATTCACTTACAAACCTAATAGCATGAAAAGAACATCTTAATTAAAATCTGGTTTGATAGAAATACAGGGCACGATGTTACTACCGCCTTCATGGACTCAGAAATGCTGGTCGCTCTGGGTGCCTAAGATCAGCAGGGCTCCTGAGAAAGATCCCATCCCCTAAAGTGCCCCAAACGTCCTCAGGACCTCGTGCTGTCGCCACGCAGGGACAGGAAGGGGCTGAGGGAACTGCACACTTACAAAGGTAAATAAGGAGTTACGTCCCTGTACAATCATTACAATGGCATTTCCCAGATCCCAAGAGTAGACCCGAGAGTGAAGGGTGAACTGTTCTGCTAGAAACCCTTTGACTGAAACAAGCTGCAGAAAGGCGCTTGATCTGGGGACAGGAGGCTCTGGGGGGAGGATGGGAACCCATCCCCCATGGAGAATGAGTGAAGCTACTTTCTTTTTCTCTTTCCTGTCTACACCCACCATTGGGTGTAGAGACATTCTGGGGTAAGGCACGAGAACCCGGCTTGGAGAAGAGAGGTGCTCCCAGCTGCAGTCCTTGGTGTGCAAAGGATCAAAAGATCCTGGCACAGATCTTTTGAAAGAGATGCCAGAAATACCTTCCCCACCCCTTGTAATTTCTGTCCTTGAGAGACAGAAAACCAACAAGGCAGAAGGTTTGCAAAGGTGAATCCAAACATCAAGCGAATAAAGTCCTACCAGGACATGTGTAATTGTGCATGGGATGCTCTGTTCTGTGAAGTGTCTATAGTACAGGAAACCACTGTGACCTTTCTCAGACAAGGAGTAGCCAAAAAAGATTAAAATATTCAATCCTCTTGAAGAATAGTGCAGTTGGTGGGTATGAGAGCCTACAAAGTACAAGAATCAACGTTGACGATAAAAGGAGGCTTAGGACTTTGCAGAGAAGAACAACAGTGGTGGTTGAGGGAAGCAGGGAGAAATCTGTACAGCTTGTTCAGCACTCACTGCTTGTCCACAGAATGGGATGAACACCTTAATGATCACTTTACTTCACCCACCGTTTCCTACAGACAGTGAGGTTTCTCCCAAATTCATAAGCCTGCAAATGGCATAGGTCAAGCTGCTCATCAGGAAAGCCTGTGAAGGTTTTCTCCCCAAATTGCCACGTCTGGGCATCAGGAAAAGACTTCCCCAGGAATACAGCTCAGATGAGTTCGTCTATCTCCTCTTCTTTATGGGCAGTCAGGTGACACCAAGCTCTCGGCCATTAGCCAAAACATTAAAGTATTTCTCTAGCACAGAAGCCCGGAACGTCTTAAACTTTCACGTATCCGACTAGCCAGAGACGGACTTTCTGTCCTCAGGCAGCCAGAAGTCATCGGCCGTGTATCGTGTGAGTTAACTGGCGATCGCGTCTGGGGTAGAAAGCATGCAGCTTGGGGGCTGGCGTGGTGCCACAGGGGTGCCACGGAGGTGCCACGGAGCTTTCTGGCCACTCGCGAATGGAAGAAGCCCTCTCTTTCTTGTGCACTGCTGAATCCCATCGCCCAGCACGGTGCCTGGCCAAAAGAGGCCATAAGGAAACAAGATGGGCTTGTGTGGCGAGGGGGGCCTGAACTCAACGAACGGGAAACGGGAGTGTGGCGCAAACTGCAGGGGCCGCTGTACCCTCCGAACGCTCTCCATTCAAAGAGCTAGTGACTGGACGACGCGCCAAGCAGGGCTGCACGTGCTGGGAACGCAGTCGTGCCTAAGACGTGCCTAAGACCGAGGTTGTGTCGAGAGAGGGCAGGGCTTGCAACTGGCGGGAAAGGCAGTCCACCAACACAGACCGTACAGGGGGACGAGTTCCACAAGGGAAAGAAAACAGGGCCACTGACACTAAGGGAGGGCGGGGCGGGGGCCTTCTCAGAAGATGGACTGAATGAGTCCATTTCCTCGGCGCAGACAAGGCAGGAAGGTGCAGAGTGACGCCCGGCCCAGAGCTCAGGGCCTCTAAATCCCGCCCCCCAGGTCGGGCCAGGCCGGCGGGGCGGATTTCAGTCGCGCTCCGCTACAGCCTCGCCCAGGAGGAGCCGAGCGCCTGCGGGTCCAAGACGCCCTTTGGCGCCCTGGACCAGAGTGGCTTTGAGCCGCGACCCACCCGGGGACGGAGGTGGGAACGCGCCTGGAGGGCAGAGCGAAGCCCCGCGCTGCCCACAGCACGGCAGGGCGAGCGGCCCACCGCGGACGTCCCGGCTCCAGCTGCAGAGGTCAACCGGGTCGGCGGCCCGAGCTCCGAGACCGCCCCGCACCACCGCAGCGGCCGCCCAGAGGCCCGGGGCGGGGCCTGGCGAGACCCAAACAAGCCCCACGTGGCAGGGGCGGGGCCGCCGCGGGGCCGCCACGGCGCGCGCGTGCGCCGGAGCGATCTCGCGCCGGCGTACCCTTGTGGGGGCCGTAAAGCGCGGAAGGTCGCGGTCGCCGGCTTTCCCCGGAACTTTTTGCTCCCTCCGCCCCGCCCCTTTCCCTGCCCCGTTCCCCGCGTTCTGGCGCCGGGACCCCCCGCAACTGTTGTGGCTGCTGCCCCGCTGCCGCCCGGGTGCTGCTGGCCGCGGAGCCCGCGGGGGCCCGTGAGGTAAGGAAGACAGGGGCGGGGCCGCTCTGGCCTCCCCTCCGCGCGCGTCGCCGCGTCCCCCTTTCCGCTCTGGTCTCCCTCGGGGGTGGTCCCGTCCGCCCCTCGTTTCGCGTCGCTTGCGCCGAGTCGCCTGGGGACCGCGGCGGCCCGGGCCGAGAAGGGTCCGCCTCGTCTCTCTCAGCCTGTCCGCGGCTGCGCTCCGTCCGGCCGAGGTGGTCCGGGCCTCGGACAGCCGTGCCCGGCTGGCCCGGGGCCTGCGCACCGGCTCCTCAGGGGGCGTCCGCCGGCTCAGCCCGACGTCCAGAGCGGCCGGGGTGACCTCGCTTCGGGCTCCCGGCCTCGGGCAAGCCCCCGGCGCGCATGAGGCCGGCCTCGCCCGGTCTTCCTCCACTGCGGGTGCAGTTGCTTTCCCGCCCGGAGACGTGCGGTCCGCCTGTGCTTCCCTCACTTGTAAGACTGCTGCAGAGCGCGGCGGCCGAGTTACCGGGAAGAGCGTAGGCCCAGGGCAGTGAGCCGACTTCGTGATGTGCGACCACTCGGGACCGATGTGAAGGACACTGAGGTCAGATTCGGGCATCTTCAAGTGCATTTTGCCGGTGTGTGTAAGCGTGACGTGCGGGGCCGCGGAGGGAAGGGGGAGGGGAGCCGGGCCACGGGGCACACTTGGCCAGCGCTAGCGATTTGTCTTAATTTCGTCAACTTGTCTGATCACCTGGTGGCACTTGCTGAGAATTACCCACCCAGGACCAGCTGGATCCACTCTCCAGAGACGGAGCCTGGGCTAGAAATGTGCTGGCTGGCCCTTGTGCTGAGGCAGGTGTGGGAGATGTTGTTAATCGCCCTCCACTCACCTGGCTTCCTAGTCGCCAGCGGCCCATTTGTACACACGCTGTGACCCTACAGAGGAACAACTCAGAGGGACTTGGAGTTGCCCTCTTGTTCTTCTTGGTGTAAGCAGGTGTGAGCATAGCTAGTCCCGGTATCGCGGTTGCTTGGCAGGTATTTTTCTTCTTAGCAGAAAATATCGTAGGGTCGTCTTAGTTTTTAAAACATGTAATTTATTTTGGGGGCCCCTGGCTTGTTTAGTTGGAAGAGCATGTGACTCTTGACCATGAGTTCCAGCCCCAGTGGGGTGTGGAGATTACTTAAATAAAACTTAACATATATATTTATGTGTGTGTGTATTTTAAATCTGGTTACGACTTTTATTTCTTTGTTTTTGACATCTTCAGTTTCTTGTCTACCGACTTTCCCTTCTCTGCCATCAAACTTTGCCTTGGTTTTGCTGCCAGACCTACTTGGGTACTCTGGTGCCTTCCTTCCTTTGTTTGCATTCACTTTAAATCCTTTTTTGTTCTTGTTTGCCCTCACCGCTTCAGTGACTCTTTGAAGGTCATGCACACAGGGTCACAAATCCTTTTCTTGGTTCTTCTCACCCTAGGCTTTTTTTTTTTTTTTTTTTAGTCACCCTAAGTTTTTAACCCATCTTGTTTATTCCATCTTGAACCTCAGTTGTTGTTATGTGTCTTCTGTTACATTTGCAGTTCCTTTTATCCTGCCAGGGGATGTGCCTTGTGGTTCTGTCCTCACAGCTACCCTTTCTTTACTCATCTGATGTTGTTTGAAAGGTAGCAGGGAGGAAAGATTCCAGGGCAGACTCCGGTGCCAGCCCGGCAGGGTTTGACTCCTGGCTCTGCCCCTCACCGGCATTAGAGAAGCGCGGATGAGTGACTTCTCCGTGCCTCAGCTTCTTCAAGCGTAGAAAAGAAACTTTAGTATCTACCTGGTAGGGTTGTGAGGCTTAAGTCCGTTGTACACGCCTGAAGCAGCATCTGGCCGACTGTAACTGCCTATGAAGATATTACCATTTTCTGTTTTAAAAATTCTGTCACGTGACTTAGATATCCCCTCCAATCTGCGGGCCTAGCCTTGAGATCCCAGAGTCCTCATTGAACTTTCCCCCCTCTCGTGTGTTCTCTCCTCTCAGCCATTTGGCAATGTGTATTTCCTGGGTGCCTCCCCTGAATGCTGGGAAAACCATGATCAAGTTATATAATTGGTCTCAGCTCCCAGAGAGCTCCATCGTAATAGGAGACTGAAAAGGACCACTTACTGAGTGCTGCGTAGGTGCTCGTTGCCATGTTTTTCCTTCCTGTCTGATTGAGTGTTTGTAGCAACCGTGTGAGGTGGGTAGGCCTAGCTCACCTTATGGATGAGGAGCCCAGGGCACAGAGATGTGGCATAACTTGCCAAAAGTCAGAGCTAATGAGAGGTGGGGGGAGGTTTTCCAACCACAGCTGTCTGCCTCTCTCTCAAGCCTACATTCTCAGCTGGGTGGTTGTGCTGTTTCCCTGATTGGCGAACAGACCGTGACACAGTCCGGAGGCTCTGTGCTGGGAGAAGTGCAGGGTGTGATGGGAGAACATAGAAGAGTCACCCGACCCAGTGTTGGGGGAGAGGAGGTCTGGTAAGATGTCGGATAGGCTGAGAGCTGAGGCAGTTCCCTTTGTCTGCGGGGGGAGAGTGGCAGGAACTATACTGTTTGGTTTAGAGGAACAGCGTGCCCAGATCCCGGAGGTTTCAGAATCCTGTCCTGTTTGAGGAGTTCATTACAGGTGGTTGCGTGTGGCTCCAGAGAAAGAGAGCAGAGATAAGAAATGAGCCAGAGAGTGAGGGATCTTGCCCTTCCTGTGAAGGACATTGCCTTTTCCTGAGGACATCAGAAAGTCATTGAAGGGTTTTAAGCAGGGGCGTGAAACAAGATTTGCATTTGAGAAGACTGGCTCCGAGTCCTGTGTAAGGACTGTGGGGTGTTGGGGAGAACGGTGTACAGAAGCCCCGTCAGGAAGCTTCTGCAGTAATCTGAGCAAGGGTGGCGGCCTGTACTCAGGTAGCTGCAGTGGGAATGGGGAGAAGTGGGAATGAGGGAAACGTGGCTGTGGAATCGTTAGTCCATGCTGGTTGGCTGCACAGAGGAGAGGAGAAAGGAGGAGCCCAGGGTAACACCCAGGGTTCTCGAATATGGTGTCACTGGGGGACACAGAAGTGGAGCAGATTTGGAGATTGAGGAGGATGGGTTTCCCTGTTGGAGGTGCCCGGTTTGACCTACGGGAGCCCAAGTGGACATGCCATTGTTCCGCTTAGAGGTACAGGCACAAAGGTCGGGGCTGCTGTGGGTTGGGCTCTCGGTCACGGTAGGCAGTGAAATCCCCCTGGAGAGTAGTGGCCCGAGGGGAGAAGCTGGTCCCAGAGCACCGTGAGGGACGTGGACTCGGAAGGACGGGCCGGGGAGAGAAGCCAGCGAAGACGTGACCAGGGTAGTGGGAGTCAGGATAAAAACCGGGAAAGGGGGTGTGAGTAGCGGGAGCGATGGGCGATATGCGGTGCTGTGGAGAGGATGTGAGGTGGGGCCGGTGTCCCCGGAAGTTGGCGACGTGAGCCTTCTTGGTGAGAGCAGCGTTCCTGGCTTGGCGGGCAGAAGCCCAACCGCTTTGGGTTCAGGACAGACTGGAAACGGGGAAAAGGGGACAGATCATATAGGAAGCCCTTTCCTGAAAGTATTTGTCAAGTGAAAAGACAGGCTGTGAGATCACATTAAGAGTCCGTTCTGGGGGCGCCTGGGTGGCTCAGTTGGTTAAGAGACTGCCTTTGGCTCTGGTCATGATCCCGGAGTCCTGGGATCGAGTCCCACATCGGGCTCCCGGCTCAGCAGGGAGCCTGCTTCTCCCTCTCACCCTCTCCCCTTCTCGTGCTGTTTCTCTCTCTCTCTCTCTTTCTCTCTCTCTCTCAGATAAATGAATAAATAAACAAAATCTTAAAAAAAAAAAAGAGTCCCTTCTGGCTTGACGGCCGGCAGACTCTGCAGTCACCAAGGAGTAAGGAAAGGACACGGGACAGGCGGCAGCACTCAGGTGGGCAGCAGGGCAGCACATTGGGACTGCTAATTTTGTATGGTGGGAAATCATGGTTTTAAATTTTATTTATTTATTTGAGAGAGAGAAAGAGCACAGGCATGTGCGTGCGTGCCTGTGAGTGGGGGAAGGGGCGGAGGGAGAGAGAATCCCGACGTGGGGCTCGATCCCCCGACACCGAGACCACAGACCTGCGCCAAAGCCAGGAGTCGGATACTCAGGCGCCCTGATGGGAAGTCCTAACTGCCTCCTACGTTTGTGCTTTTTGCCAAGACCATATTTTTTTACCATTTAGAATTTTTAAAATGACACTACTCGAAGACAGTTACAGAGCTTTTGTTCCATTTCTTTGGTGGGTTGGGAGGACTTGAGCATATGAAAACGCTGAGGGTCAGAGCGGAGCACCGAAGGTACGTGGAAGAGGAGCTGGGTTCATGGAGCTGAGTCCCAGGGAAGGAGGGAGAGGGATCCGGGGCTCTTGTGGGGCGACGAACTTTTGACCCTCTGAGGGAAGGAGAGAGGGTTGTAGATGCAAGTGGGATGATTGGTGGAGTTTCAGGGGATGCGATGAGACAGGTTATCTGCTTTGAAGGGAGGAAGAGAGGAGGTGGGGTCCGAGGTTGGGAGAGGAGTGTCGTGGGTTCAGAACCCGAATGTAGACAGACATCTGCCTGTGGCTGAACCCGCGGTGGCCCCGGGGCTAGGCAGGGGGTGCCTGCTAGCCTGAGCCTCAGAGGAACTGGGCCTTTTCGAGTGTGACCAAGCAGTAATAGTTCTGAAGGGAGGAGGCAGATAGTCACCCCCCAGCCCCCCGCGTGGTGAGCTCAGTAGAGTGGGGCTGGCCGTGCGGCGGTGGCCGCTCCCTCAGAAGAGCTGCGTCCCCGTGGAGACAGGCGAGACAGTACTGGCGAAGGGCCGGGTGCTTAACTCCGGAAAGGATGTTCTGGAGGGCACGGTGGAGAGGTCTGGAGGGGAGGACAGCAGAGAGAGAGACACGGAGGGAGGGACAGAAATTGGTCACGTGGAGACGAGGTTGCAGGAAGAAGCTTCTGTCTTGAGACCCTTGGACAGGGACCGAGGGTGTGAGGCCTGGTGACTACCGCCAGGTGGCCGAGTCATCAGCCCTGGTTGGATGGGATTCATCCTGGGACGCGGTAGAGGCCTTGCTCGGTCTCCGTCCTGAGATGCTGTGTGGTGATGGACGGGCACCCACACCTGGGCCTTGGACGAGTTGGGCTGTTTGGGGCCCGCCGTGGGTACTGGCATGCTGCTGGGCGCACTGTCTGCCGGGGCTGTCCTCTGACGTCCCCCCTCTCCCCACGCTCGGTGACCCTGCCGTCTCCCGGCAGGTCTGTCTGCAGTTTCCTGAACAGGCCTCTGCTTTGCCGGGAGAGTAATTCTCTCTGGTGGCCCGATCCCGTACCCTTTCCCTTCTCTGCCTTATGATGCTAGTTGTCTCGTAGACACGTGTGCTTGGTCGCAGCGTGTGACACCCGAGTTTGCGGGATAAGCGCACCCGGACTAACCTTCCCCTGCTTCCGGAAAGAGGGCTGCTGGTCCTTGAGTCTCCCTCCAGCCCGTGGCCTGGGCAGACCCGGGGCACGCTGTCCCTCACTGCGGCTTTGGGTCCTCTCTCTCTCTCTCCCCTCTTCCAGGACCTCATTCTTTGTCACCACCTCTCCTTCCGGACCCACCTCTTTCCCCTTTACTGGCCCTTCCTGCCAGCAGTGAAACAGTCTCCACGGCCCACGCCTTTATAGACCAAGAACCCTGCTCTGCTCCCATTCTTTTCTTGCTGCTGGCTGGTTTTTCTGCTCTCTTTGGAGCAGAAAGTCAAGGAGTGGTCTGCACTCCCTCATCTCCTCGCTCTGGAGCTTGCTCTGGTCCGGATTTCATCCCGAGCACTCTCCTGGGAATGTTCTTTCTGGGGACACCAAGGACCTCTGTTGTCAAGTCCCAGCGGACGGACCCTTGGCCGTCCTGCTGCACCCCCGGGCACCCTCCGTAGCGAACCGCTTCTTAAAACTCTTTCCTCTCTCTCGGCTTCTGTGACACCGCAGCCCAGTTCTCTTTTCTGCCTCGCCGAGGCTCCTTCTCGGTCTGTTGCACCACTTCTGTTTGTCCGGATGCTCTGTGCGTCTGCCCAGCGCTCTGTCCTCTGTCCGGTACTTTCTTTCTCTTCCCAAGCTGTACCTGCTGGGGAGCCTCAGGGTTCTTCTTGTTCCTCAGCATGCCGGGTCTCGGATACCCCACGTGTTCCCCTGGCTGCCGGCCTGGATGTCCAGCTGCTGCCTGACCTTTTCCCGTGCGTGCCCGCCCGGCGTCTTGCACTTGACCCCTCAGAGGGGAACGTTGGCTTGTCTGCGCACCCGCGCCTGCACCCTTTCGCAGCCTCCCTCTCGCTCCCTCTCCTTCCCCGCCTCCCTCCCCATCCCTAGCCCTTCATACTGTAGTAAGTGGCACCAGTTGCTTAACCCAGAAACTCTGCCATCATCCTTATTTCTCCCCCTGCCCCATTTTAACATCCCGTTTGTTGGTAAGTCAGGGCCGTCATTTCACCTCCAGAACAATCCAGCCGTGGCTTTGACTCCACTGCCACCGTCCGGGTCCCAACCCCCAGGCCCTCCCTCTAGGACTACCGCAGCAGCTGCCCAGCCCTGCCTTTCCTCTCGTTCTCCAGCCCACTTCCCGCCGCCGTGGAGCCTGACTGATCTTGGAAAAGCATATCTGATCGTTTCATTCCCTGCTTTAGTATTTTCCTTTGCGCCCGGAGCGGAATCCCAGCTCGTCACGATGGCATCCCAAGCGCTGTGTGTCCTGGCTTTCTGCCTCCCTCTCCAGCCTTGTCTTGGGTCCGCTCCGCCTTGCTCCTCGTGCTCTGGGCACCCTGGCCTCCCTTCCGTGCTCGGACTCCGCAGGGTCGGCCTCCCCTCAGGGCCTTTGCACGTGCCTGCGCCTCTGCCCGGAAGACGCATCCGGCTGATTCCCGGTCACCACGGGTCTCTCCTCCGACGTCCCCTTCTTCCCGACCGTCCTAGGTTACACACGCCGTCGGGCGTTGCTGCACACCGGCCTTGTTCTTGTTCTATGTGTGTCTGGGCCGCCCCTGCCACAGGCACCCTCACGCCCACTCACACGCCCACTCACTGTCTGTGTCTCTCATGAAAGGTGCTGCATAAAGGCAAGACCCTCCTCCTCGCTGTCCCCTGCTGTCTCTGCAGCTGGCAGAGCGTCTGGAACTGCGCAGGGCCTCAGACATGGGCCGAGGGCATGATTAGCGTTCTTTGGCGCCTCCTCTCCCTTTCTCAGTAATCCTGTGCCCTGAGTACAGTACGTGGAATGAAATCTGGTTGCTTTCTCCGTCTAGTGTGCATGTCGGGGGTCTCTGCCGTAGCCGAGTGAGAGCACCGCGCCGAGCTGCTGGCAGACGTGATGTTTTACCGGCTGCTGTCGGTGGTCCGAAGACAAAGGACCGGCCGAGGATGGCAGAACTGGTCGTCGGGGAGGAGCGGCGCGTCGGCTGCCGAGGCGCATTCTGTCGCCCTGCCTGCCCAGGCGCAGGTGGTCATCTGTGGTGGTGGGATCATGGGCACATCCGTGGCCTATCACCTCTCCAAGATGGGGTGGAAGGATATTGTCCTTCTGGAGCAGGGCAGGTAAGGACCAGACTGCGTGGGCTCCCCTCAGCCCCTCCCCTCCCGGTAACGTTGTCCCGCCAGCAGCTAAGCTGACTGGCGCTAAGTCGCAGGACAAGAACCACAGGCAGGCAACATCCCCTGGACGCGGTTTTGCGATGCAAACCGCCCGTGTTTTCCGGCTTGGACAGAGGTGGCCGATTCCAGCACACCCAGGTCTCTAGAGAGGGTGCGTTTCATTTCAGGGTCACGGCACACCTCGCCGTCTTGTCCTCTCCGTTGTAGTCACACAGCGACATCAACCCCGTGGCTCAGGAGCTTCCTCTGTGAGCCGAGATGAAACTGGCTACCTCCTGCCTGATCTCTGTTCCTTTTCCCCGTGGAACTCACTCACTCGAGAGCAGTGGGAGATTTACAGAACAGACGTGAAGGTAGTGCAGCAGTCCGTATGCCGGGGTCCCGTGCGCACCTCGGAGGAACACCTTAGGGTGGGATCACCGTGAAATGCAGTGAATCCGTGTGGATGCCTTAGTATTAACTGAAGTTCATGCTCTGTTCAAGTTGTTTCACTTTTCCCCTAATGTCCCTTTTCTGTTCTATTGCCTACCAGAAATTGGATGACCTTTAACACGTCCTTTGTATTTATTTCTGAATAGGCAATACATGTACACGAGTCAGATTGAAAATTGTAAAAGAGTGTACAGGGAAATTCTGCCTCCCACCCCTGACTTCTAGCTGGAAGGTTCCCTCGCTGGAGGCAAGTTAAGTTCCTTGTGTATCGTTGCAGATACTCCCCGAGTCATTATATGAGCAAATCTGTATCGGTCAGTTTGTATACGTGTACCCGGGTATTCGTTTATTATTTTTTTCTCTTTTTTATACAAGTTAGTAGCGAACCTTAAACAGTGTCCCTCCCCTTGCTTTTTTCATTAGGGTTGTTCCGTATTGTTGCATAAAAGCTTTCTCTCGTTCCTTTCTTTATGGCCGTGTAGAGTATCCCATCGTAGAGGGGTCCTCCAGCCTGTTCAGTCCCGCTCATGTCGGTGGATACGTAGGTTGCTTCCATCTTTCGATGTGACACACGATGCCATAGTGAGGATCTTTGAACTAGTTGCACTCACAGCTGTGGGAGTGTACCTGATAGCATTTTGGATGCATCCTGCAGGCTGGCTGCCGGCTCTACGAGGTTCTGTGCTGGTATCCTGAGCACCGCCAGGCACTTGACCATCGAGCAGAAGATGGCAGACTATTCCAACAAACTCTACCACCAGTTAGAGCAAGAGACGGGGATCCAGACAGGTAAGCAGGTAATCCGCCATTTACTGGTCCGCCTGTGCCCCAGACTCTGGTGCTCCGTGCCGTGTGTGGCCCGACGCCGCGTCAGCCTGCCGGCCTGGTGGTCAGGGCTTGAGTCTTAGTCCGGGCTCTGCCAGTCGCCAGGGTCTTTCCTGGGGCAAGCCTGTTGGCGTGCTGGGCTGTCTCCAGTTTCCCTACCCGCCGAGGGGATTCCGTCCTTGTCCCAGATCCTTTCCAGAGCCTATCATTCTCAGGATAGGAAAGGCTTCCCGGGCCATTTCCTATTATTTCACTCCCTGAAGTCTAGCAAGTGGCCACGCTTGGCTCCTGGACGAAGAAGCCAAGGACATACTTCCGTTTCGGTGCTTGATGGTGAAATCGTGGTCTGACCCGCTGCATTTCACCAGTTGCTCCGAAGGCCTCTTCTGACTGAAAAGCTTAAACGGAGGCTACCCGTTATGCGTGTCAGCAAGGGAAAAGAACCCAGGGAATCGTGAGCTAAGTACGACCGGAGCAAGTAGAAGGGGAAGGCTGAGCCATGGGAGGGTCCCGCACGATCACAAGTTAGAAGCGTGTCTGTCAGCGTGTCGTCAGGTGATGCATCGGCCAGGAGCCCAGGGGCGAGCCTCGCGTCGTGGCTGATGAAACGGTTTGGTGGCCACGGGAGATGTCCCGGGGGAGGAGCGGGGCCTAGTGATGAAATTCAGGACGCCCCCGTCCGTCAGGGTTGCTCTTTTGAAGACCCGCATAATTCAGATCACAGGTAATTCCAGGCTAATCCTGACAAGGATGGTAGCCTGATCTGTTCGCCCGCTGAGGCGGCCCTGCCGGGGGTCACAGCATAAACACAGTGGATGGTCGCCTTTGCTGGCCGGCTCAGACCTCATGTGACCCGTGACACGGTTCTCGTTGGGAAGGTGAGATTTGAAGTATTGGAAATTTTGATGACAGGCTGAGGTTTTATAGCATTTCCCCTTCATAGGATTCCTGCTCTGGCAAAGTGTCCTTGTGTCTAAGTCCTCGATGAAGACTGAACGTCTGGGAACTGGGATTGGGTAGCTGTGTTCGTGGAGAGAGGAGATGCCAGGAGAGGAGCTAGAGGAGGGGAAGGAAGGGGCTGTAGAACCTCGAGCACATAAGCAGGGCTCCCAGGCTGGCCCTGCCCCGGCTTGGTGCCGAGAGCGGGCGCCTCACTTGCCTCGCCCTGGTCCCCGCCCGGCAGATGAGCCTGACTCCCCCACGGTCACCTCTCACTTGGCCAGGCTTTCTTTGGAGAGGCGAGGACTCTGAGTGAAGATAGTAGAAGGCGTTCCTGCTGCCTCACCACCTCTGGCTTTTGTCAGGGAGGATGCCTGCTACGTGCAGGACAGGCGGGAGCGAGTCCCTTTTGGTTGGATTTAATTTGGTGGCCACAGGTACTTGAATCGGCTGGTAAGCAGAGTTTGAGTCAGAAGAGGGCCCACCTAAGGGGCCCCGAGCTGGAACTACTGACTTCCCTGCAGTCGGTGCCCTGGTTCGGTCCCTAGTGCTTTGCCGAGCCCTGCATTGCTTACCTGCTTGGATGCTAGAGGAACCCGAGTCGTAGGCCTCTTTTCTGTAAGCTAAGTTTGTCTCACTTGAGTTCTGATCTGGAACCCCTTTTGGGGCCTGGTATCTCCTTGATGCTTGAAGGGCAGCGAGGAAGTCAGGCAAGGGAGAGTCCGGGGATCACCCTCAGTCTGTCACCCCCATTGCAGTTCAGCCGTGGTGCAGTGAAAAGGGGATGTGGGGTCCCCCGATGGAGGATTCTGTTATCCGGCAGGACGCGCAGGGGCCGGTCAGTGGACCGCTTTTGAGACTTAAAGACACGTGACATATGCACAACTTGGATTTCCCGATATTACAACGCTAAACCTCAGAAGACAGTGCATTTATGTGAGGTGTATGTTCGCTCCTTTAATATTCTGACACATCACTACTTTATCTGGAAGTCCACGCGGATTTTCTCTCTCCAAAGTTTGCATTACCTTTTTTTTTTTTTTAAGATTTTATTTATTTATTTGAGAGAGAGAGAATGAGAGAGAGCACATGAGAGGGGTTAGGGTCAGAGGGAGAAGCAGACTCCCTGCCGAGCAGGGAGCCCGATGCGGGCCTCGATCCCGGGACTCCAGGATCATGACCTGAGCCGAAGGCAGTTGCTTAACCAACTGAGCCACCCAGGCGCCCGTTTGCATTACCTTTTGTTGGTGCTTTTTGCTTAACAGTTTATCATATACTTTTTGTACCATCTTTTGTTTCGGTAATTGCTTCTCTGCTACATGTTTATTTCTTATTTCCTTTAATACAAAAACATTTTAATAATCATTAAATATAAGTGTATTATGGAGGGCTCTCTAAATTAGCTCATATAAATAAGTCTGCTTTGGGGCGCCTGGGTGGCTCAGTTGGTCAAGCATCTGCCTTTGGCTCAGGTCATGATCCTGGTGTCCTGGGTTCGAGTCCCGCATTGGGCTCCCTGCTCAGCGGGGAGCCTGCTTCTCTCACTCTCTTCCTCTGCCCCTCCCACTTATGCTTACCCTCTCTCTCGCTCAAATAAATGAATAAAATCTTTAAAAAATTCTGCTTTTTATAACTGCAGAGGAAGTTGCCATAGTATGTGCAGTTTTTTAATCCATTTCCCATTACCTGATGTTTATAGTTCCTTTTTTTGTTGTTATAATGATGCAGTAAAGATCCTTGTCATATTTGTTTTCTATTGCTAGTTCTAAAGGATAGATTTCTAGAAGGTTGATAATTTGAGCAAAAAGTGTTCATATTTTCAACTCTGATAGGTATTGCCAGATCATCCTCCAAAAGAGATGCCCCTTCTTACCACCAGTATATGGGAGTGCTTATTTCTTTAGAGTCTTCTCAACATTGCATATTGTTTTATTTTTCATTCTGCTTTTTTTGTTAAGTAATCTCTACGCCCAACACGAGGCTCAAACTCATGGCCCCGAGATCAAGAGTCACATGCTCTATCGACAGAGCCAACCAGGCGCCCCAGCATTGGGTATTATCTTCATTATTACTAATCTGAGAGATGGAAAAAGTTACCAGATTCCAATTTGCATCTTTTTCAGTTAAACGTTATTTCATAGGTCTTTTGGCCATTCATGTTTCTTTTCTGACTTGTTTTTTAGTATCAGATGTCTACCTTCTTTTCTTACTGAACTTAAGGGTTCTATTTTATTGCTTTGAACCTGTAATAAAGCAAATTTTATGTCAGAAAGCTTTAGACCAAACTTTACAAGGCCTCTGTGGGAAAACAGTAGACTGTTACTCTTGTGAACTGGCTATAGGCTTTTGTTATGGCACGTGGTTCTGTTTGGAAGAGCATGATTTGACCTCATGTGTGTGCCGTGATGTGTTATGTTACTTCGTGCATGGTGGCCCTGTCCTCCCAGGGGGACTGTTTGGTAGTGAGTGGGAATTGACTGCTCAAGCCTTTGTCTGCAGGTGAGACTCAGAGTGTGATAAGCCCCCACATCACTGGCCACGATCACTGCACTGGCCTGGTCTGTCTACAGTTTTTAAAAACCAGTCTCTGAAATTTCAGTTCTCCAAACGGAGACATTCTTGTCATGTCAGGGAAGGGCATATTTACCTGATGATTTCAGAAGAGATGAGAAAAACATTTAAGTGACCCTCCTGTGCTGCCTTTTAAAAAAGATACCCTGATTGATTCAGCTTTTTCATTATCAGAACAGAGAGTCACTGCATGTTAGGAAGATTGTCATTGACCCAAGCATGATCAAGGTTGTGTCAGGTATGTTGATTGCAAAGAGCAGGAGTCGACTCCGGCCATCTGGGGCAAAAAGGAGTTTTTGGAAGGCTTTCGGAGCCAGTCGAGTTGGCAGGAGGCTGCCAGCTGGAGGAGGCAGCGTGGAGGCCGGACCGGGGGGACCCACAGCAGGCAGCCCCTCGGGAAACGGCCCATCTGGCCAGGACGCCACTGCTCCTGAGATGATCGGCCTCCAGCCATTCACCTGCTTGCTCCAGACCCGGTATCCCGGGAGGGTCTGATTGGCTGAGCTTCGGCCACATGCCCCCTGGCTCTGCCGGGGAGGTGGGGGGGGTCCAGCCCCGCACCGATGTTGTGAGTGGCCTGCATCGGGGGTCACACTCCCACCAAAACCATGGGGAGGAAGATGGGTTTTGGGGTACATTCCCTTCCAAAAGGCTTTGTAGCAACAGTATCTCTCGTGTTTATTTTAAGAGTGATTATTTAAGATGTACGTGAAAATCCCCCTCGATCCTCCCCAAATCCTAGCTGAGGGTGTCTGGATGGTGGCCGTGCCAGGACTCCTCACCGCTTTTCGAACTTGTAGTCTAGTGGGCTCGCCCGCCTGGCCCGCAGGAGGCCTGGGCTGCTCAGTCTGGGCTGGTTTTCCTTACAGGTTACATAAGGACAGGCTCGGTCTTTCTGGCCCAAACTCAGGACCGGCTGATCTCCCTGAAGCGCATCAACTCAAGGCTGAAGTACGTATGAGGCTAGAAGCCTGTCCCGATGCTCCTGTCAGACTGACGTCTGCCAGAGGGCCATGCATGTCATTGTCCCCTTGTGTTCTGCGGCAGCGTCATAGGTATCCCTTCTGAGATCATCTCCCCCAAGAAAGTCGCCGAACTTCACCCTCTCCTCAACGTGCACGACCTGGTGGGGGCCATGCATGTTCCCGAGGATGCCGTAGTGTCCTCTGCTGACGTGGCTCTTGCCCTGGCAAGTGCTGCCTCCCAGAATGGTAAGCAGGTTTCTGGGTGAAGAAGGAAGAGGTTACGGAAGAAGCTGTCGCAGCTGGCAGCGACGCCAGCTCGGCTTCCATTGTTGAACGCTGGCTCTTAGAATGTTTGTTTGAATATACCCTCTGTTAATAAATGTGTTTCCTCAGGGCCACATTTCCCTTATTAAAGTTCTAAGGAACTGCTTTTAGTACTGACCAGTGCACTTCAAGCTTAAGGGAATCCCCCCCCCCCCGCTCCCCCCCAGCCCAACATGAGAAGCTCCAAGGTCAGAAGACACAGCATGGACTGAATCCATGGCTGGTCATGTCCTGGGGTTGGAATGAATGAGGGGAAGACTAACCAGTGTCCAAGGTGCTCTGTACTTTGGATGAACTGATTCCCGGTGTGGGTGGTTTAGGGTTTAAGATGCCTTATTTGAACTTTTTCTCCCCTGCCCGTTTTATGATTCCTGGAATTGAGTTCTGTACTAAAGTCGTCTGCTGTTTTCAGTCTTGGAATAGGCCCATTGACACAGTCTTAGGATGTGGTTCCTGGGAGTTTTTGTTTTTTTTTAAATAAAACACTGACTTGGCTTTTTCAGCATTTCTCGGGGGTTGAGAATCTGCTGCAGAGGCCTTAATTCTGGGCCATCAGAGGATGGATTCACCAACTCTTTCTTTACCTTGGAACAGGTGTTCAGATCTATGACCGGACCAGCATTCTTCATGTAATGGTCAAGAAAGGTCAAGTTACTGGTGTGGAGACAGATAAAGGACAGATCGAGTGCCAGTATTTTGTCAACTGTGCTGGTCAGGTAGGTTAGCCACAGTACTGGGTCACTGATTTTATCACTTCACTTTTACCTCTGGCATTTTAGGTATGGAGATGTAAGGTTAATACTGTGATGAATTAAGCAGACGTCAGGGACCACCTTTTCCTTCTTTGGACTAAAAACTCAGAATTCTTGTATTCTAAAGATTTTTTTAAATTTTATTTATTTGAGAGAGAGAATGAGAGACAGAGCATGAGAGGGAGGAGGGTCAGAGGGAGAAGCAGACTCCCTGCCGAACAGGGAGCCCAATGCAGGACTCGATCCAAGGACTCCAGGATCATGACCTGAGCCGAAGGCAGTCGCTTAACCAACTGAGCCACCCAGGCGCCCAGAATTCTTGTAATCTAAATCAGAGGCCTGTAGCTAGTCCTCAGAGAGGAGCACCAGTGATGACCTTTTCCTTCCTCCACCCTGGGTTAAAGGGTGCCAGGAAGTCTGTGAAATGGTCGGGCATTGACAGAAATCCTTGGCGTTGGGTCTCCTCTGGTGTTTCATTTCATCCTGCAGCCTAGCAAATAAAGCATGGGGCTATTTTTTTGTGTCAGGAGTATGGATTCAGTTAGGAACACTAAGCTGCTTCTCCTGACCTAGGGGTACTTTTTGCCTTGCAGACGTCACATATGACGGGATCTGGGGTTTGTAGTCGAGGCCAGGCGTTTTGTTAACAGGGCATCACTTGCCCCCCAGTGAGCTCCTTTTATTGGTTGCTGAATCTCTTGTTCTTTGGTCTAAGAATAATTGTTATGGTTTAAAAAGGACCGTGTTGCTCCCCATCCACATAACTAAAGCAGTCTGAACCTTGGCTTCCCATGCCTCACGTTGGGGCAAGAGCACACAGGCCGCTTGCAGTTAAACTCCTGCAAGCGGCTGAATATGTTCATTTGTCTTTCTGTTCCTCTTCGCACCCACGGATCAATCTGTCTCTTTGTAGTGGGCATACGAGCTGGGTCTGTCTAACGAGGAGCCGGTTAGTATCCCGTTACACGCCTGCGAACACTTCTACCTTCTGACTCGCCCCTTGGAGACCCCTCTGCGGAGCAACACACCGAGTGAGGACTTACACTTTGTTTTTAATCTTGTTTCCTTGCCACTGTCCTGTCCCTGAAAAGGAAGACTTTCTGCTCGGGATAGACTGTGTTCCAAAGTCTTGTCTCTTCTGGAGCGTGTTACGGGGAGGCCGACCCAGTTCTACCTTTTCTCTAAGAACTCTTTATGAAAGGATGGACAAAACAGACATTCCACTGAAGCAATTTTTGGGTTTGTTTTGTAAGCTAATTGCAGTCCCACACAGAGGTCCAAATTGAGAATTTGGAATGTAACCTGGAGTTTTTGACTTGAATGGCATACGTTGCAGACAGGTTCTAGGTAAGCTACAATCAGGTTGCTCCACGACCCTGAGTGCCACAGGAGAGGGCTTGACATCTCCTGGAAGGTCTCAACCCCTAGAATGGGCTCGTGGTCCCCCGTTTCTGCTAGGCTTTCATGTGGCACTGCGGCAGTTCCGTAGTTTGGTTGCGAGCTCCAGTCAGAGCTTCTAGGTAGCTGATCAGGGAAACAGGGTCCCCTGTAAATCTGAGGGGGCAGATCCCCCACCCCCACAACCTCGAAAGGTCTGCGTTCACTGGATGCTTTTTTGCTAATAAAGCCAATAATGGGTGTCTTTGTTCTGCTTTTTCTGTCCATTTAGAAAGCTGGCCTACCTCTAAACCTTGCTTTTCTCTTCTGTCCCCCACTCCCTTGTTGTTTCTCTTCCTTAGCTATTGTGGATGCTGATGGAAGAATTTATATCCGGAACTGGCAGGGTGGCATCTTGTCTGGGGGCTTTGAGAAGAACCCGAAGCCAATCTTCACTGAGGGCAAGAACCAGCTGGAGATTCAGAATCTGCAGGAAGACTGGGATCACTTTGGTGTGCGAGCTAGAGGATAACTATAACGTCCTGTGTTTGTCTAAGATGCTATCTTTTTTGAAGCATTTTCAAGGAGTTCCTTCTTTGATCTTTTTAACGGCCCCATGAGCGCTTACGGAGGGCAACCTGCAGAGTTTGCCTAAGGCTGCAGTTATGGGTAGCAGATTCTGGGGACGAAGATCTTGGTTAAGGGACTTCTGGCGTATTATCTAAAACCACTGCTGAAATTTTAGGCTAGGAGGAAACCTTTTCGTAGGACAGCATGTAAGATTGAAGAAATTTTTAGAAAGCAGAATTGTTTTGTTAATACGGTCTTTTAGTTGGTTTTTGTTTTTATTGAAGAATTGACCTATGATACTGTATTAGTTTTAGGTGTACATCATAGTGATTAGGTATTTATATGCTACTTGATTTTGTAATTTATTTTTATTTCCTGGATAGTTAATATAGTCCCAGGGTCCAGATTCCAAAGATATGAAGGGGTCTATAATGAAGAGTTTCCCCTCCCACCCTTAATGGGCATTTTTTATTTTTATTTATTATTTTTTTTAAAAGATTTTATTTATTTATTTGAGACAGAATGAGAGAGACAGAGAACATATGAGAGGGGGGAGGGTCAGAGGGAGAAGCAGGCTCCCTGCCGAGCAGGGAGCCCGATGCGGGACTCGATCCAGGGACTCCAGGATCATGACCTGAGCCGAAAGCAGTCGCTTAACCAACTGAGCCACCCAGGCGCCCTAATGGGCGTTTTTTAAAAGTAAACTTTTTATTGTGGGAGATTTCAGACACTTAAAAGTAGAGAGAAGAGTATACAGAACCCTCTGTGTACCCACCAGCCAGCTTCAGTCTGGTTTCATCTGTTGCCAGTGTCCCCGTGGAATAATTCCCAGATGACAGGCTGACTTTCAAACAGGCTGGGGACCTGTCTTTCGCAGCTGTTCCAACTTAGGAAATCCTTGCTTTGATTGCATGTCTCCTCGGGTACCGCCGAAGAGCTTTTCCCCAAGTACCGATCCCTTGGAAATCTTACCTGTCCTCCCGTGTGTTATGTGCCCTTCCACAGCTCCTGGTCTTTCTAAAGAGTGTCTTTTTTCTCTGTCTTTATGCCAAGCACTTCGTAGGTTTGTCCCTTAATTCCAGCATGGTTTCTGCTCAGGGCCCGTTTGGCTCATCTGAGAAAGCCTCTTCCAAGAGACTTTCTGAGAGGAGAGGGAGTCGGGAAACACAAGGAGCGGATGAGTTTGAATTCCCTAAAGCTGAGGCCTGTGTTTGGCTTTGTTTTTATGGCTCAGAGCCCCTGCTCAGTTCTCTCCTGCGTCGCATGCCAGACCTGGAGACTCTGGAGATCCTGAAGTTGGTGAACTGCCCCGAGACCTTCACCCCAGACATGAGGTGCATCATGGGCGAGTCTCCTTCAGTTCAGGGCTACTTTGTACTGGCGGGAATGAACTCTGCTGGCCTTTCATTTGGTGGAGGGGCTGGAAGGTAAGTCTTCCTTGCTCAGACCCTGCTTGCTGGGTGCTTTCTTCCTAGAGTTCCCTGTTGGTAATGTGGCGTGTAATGGATGTATGTAATCTGGTATGTTAATAATGAGGAGGTACACCTAATTTGAGAGTTGTCCCCTTCAAAATAATCGCTGTGGGATATTCCAGAAGTGTCTTTGTGCACAGTGTTTTGGGAACTCTTCTTTGGAATTAGTCTCGGAGCCCCTGAGATGTAGTTTTTGGCTTTTGCATGGTTATAGATGTTGATCCTTTGAGTACATTTGAGTTTGGAAACAGTAAGTACTGTGAGTGAGACCTACGATCATGCTGAGTAATACAAGTCTTTTTAAAAAATTACATACTAATTAAAATCAGCGAGTCAGAAAGGACAACTACTGTGTAGTTGCACTTCTCTGAGCTACTTGGAGTGCCAGGGTGACTGCCAGGGCTGGGGCAGTGGAGTGGAGAAGGAGTGCTGGCTTCACGGAGGGAGTTTCAGTTGGGGAAGATGGAGAGTTCTGGAGATGATGGTGGTGACAGTCACACAGCAGTGTTGAAGTACTTAATGCCCCTGAACCTCACACATGAAAAAGATTAAGATGGTCAATTTTATGTTCTCTTTTGTTCTGTTTTGTTCTATGTTCTGTTATGTTCTGTGTATTTTATCACAATTAAAATTTTTAATTTTTATTCATGAGGCCATTTTTCTTGAGTGACTTGTAGAATGGCTCTGAAAACTCTTATGGAAGAGGAGTTACCAAAAGTGTTTGGAGCTGAGATGTGGTCAGATAGTTGTATAACCTCCGAGAGTTTTCCAGAAAAAAACCACTGGATGGATAAATTAGAGTACATTTGTATATTTTAGTCTTTTTTCATAGATGTGGCTTGTTTTATAGCACTTTCTAGGGAACCTTATTAGAGCTAAAATCATCAGCGGTTTTGAGAACAATAGATGGATCCATGATCAGAAAAGTTAAGGAAATGGCCCAGAATTTCTCAACCAGTCTGTGACAAGATGGGATGTTTCTGTTGGTTTTGATTCCTCGTACAGTTAGGAGAGTGTCCCTTCCGAGGTCTGGCAACTTTCCCCACATCTAAACAGGTACCTCGCTGAATGGATGGTGCACGGTTACCCATCCGAAAACACCTGGGAGCTGGACCTGAAGCGTTTCGGAGCCCTCCAGAGCAGCCGCACCTTTCTGCGCCACCGGGTCATGGAAGTCATGCGTGAGTGGAGCTCAGCCCCGGTTGCGCCTCGTTGAAGGTTTCTTCCCTGGGGCCTCTGTGGTCAATCTGAGGGGCAGTTTAAAAATTGCTCCGAGTCAAGCTTCTGATATTTGGTTGAGGCATTAGGCCCCGTGTGGTATTTATGGAACCTTCTCTTTAGTATGTCGTCTTTTATTTACCTCTGGGGCTCGGAAGAATAGGCCTTCCGGGTGGTAGTTGCCGTCCACCTCCCCTCGGCAGCTCCTTGTGGATGCCTGGGGTTGTCTGCTTTCCACTGTGCCTGCAAAAGTCCCCGTGCCAGGTGGATGCTCTCACTCCCTACTTGATCTCTGAGATCATGATTTGCTTTCCAGGGCAGAGAATTTGCCACGTTATTCTCAGAGCTTCAAGCTTCTCTTAGTGATTTTTGTCGTTAACTGTTACGAGCTAACAAGATAGGAAACCACTTCTCGTGTAAATACAAAACATACGTTTTCGTTCTCCTTGTTCTTCCGTCCAGCTTTGAAGGCCTCTTCATTTTAACTTGGTACTCTACCTTGTCTCTGATTTACCTCCTAGTAAATCCTTAGGGTCAGCTTTTGTATCAGGAATTGAACCAAATCAGACTGTCATTTCACTGCCCTGTACTGAGGAACAATTGTTCTGAGACTTTGCCAAAATATTCCTAAATATTTGGGGCATATTTATGCTCACAGCCAAGTTTCTACATTGGCTGTGAGCACCATTCTTGATTAACAGTGAACTGTTGGTTTAGTAGCAGGGGGTTCCATTCATGATGAGGCTTTTGGATAACGGATAACCTTCAGTACCCGTGTGCTCACTTCTAGCCTGGGGCAGAGAACCGTTTGTGGGAGACAGAGGGCCTGGCAGCAGTGTGGGTGGCCACTAAGGTTCTTTAATTTTAACAATTATTTTGGTTAAAATGTTGAACTGCTCTAAGTCCTGACTTCTCCAGCCATAGTTACTTTAGAACATGTGCAAATCATAATGGAGCTTAAGTTTCTCCTTGATGACGTGACACTTATGGTGGCCGCCTCTGATTCTCACATAACAGGAATCGCAGGCACGACAGAAAGTGTGGAAAGGGTAAGTAGGACCTTAAGTGTGAGAGGAGACTGAAAAATCATCACAAGATAAGGCAAGCAGCGTGGCTCCCTTCTCTTGAATCTCTCAGCCTCCTCCCCACCCCACCGTCCCTCTGGTGTGGAATGCCGTGAGGTCAGGTTTTCTCTGTGCAAGGGACTCGAGCTCACACTCTGGCTATTTTTACATCTTGCTGTTGCAGATTAGACCCTAGGAGAAATAAATTCTGACCCTAGCTTTGTTATGTGAATTTGTCACTGGGCCAGGACTATGCAACCTGTCCGATTTCAGAGCCACCAAATCAGGGTATGCTGTGTGCCCTTTCACTTGGGAAGCAGGTTAGATGCCAGGGAGAGAGGTCTGTAACCGTTCTGAGGTCTCAGCGACTCGGGCCCTGTAAGGAAGCACGCACCATGTTTTCACACCTTGTCGCTCCCCGGGTGCTCTGGCCATGCAGCCCTCCTCTCTGCCGTGGAAGTCTGACCGTCCTCCTGTTGTTTCTGCCTACTGATTCGAAACGATGATTGTGAACAGAGACCTGGAGCTGTTCTGTGCCTCACAGCTGTGTAACCATGGAGGGATGATAGCAGCTCGTGCAGCATGAGTCTTTCTTTTGGAGCTGGCTTGTTACACGGGTGCCGTTTTCGGATTAGGCCCTGTTAGCCTGGAGAGCGTGCTCTTGTGAATAGGAGCAAGTCCCGAATCTCGTGGGTGCTGTGTTCTCTGCCCCGTGGTTTGGGCTAGCAGAGACTGTCCTTATCTGTTCCAGCTCTGCTGTACGATCTGAAGGTTCCCCGTTGGGACTTCCAGACCGGGAGGCAGTTACGCACCTCTCCTCTCTATGACCGGCTGGATGCACAAGGAGCCAGGTGGATGGAGAAACATGGATTTGAGAGGCCGAAGTACTTTGTGCCACCAGACAAGGGTAAAAAGGGCCATTCTCATTTTTTTCCTTTTTGCTTTAAGAACCAATAAAACCCATTTTAAAATGTATGATAGCTAGAATGTGTTCCTAGAAGAATAAATAAGAAAAACCTGTCACACTCTACCAAGTTATACATGGAGGGTCCACAATATAAATCTCCTTTTCTCTCTTGCTTTTGTTGTTTTCTGGTCCACAGACCTCCTGGCATTGGAGCAGAGCAAGACGTTCTACAAGCCAGACTGGTTTGACATTGTGGAGTCTGAAGTCAAGTGCTGCAAAGAAGCTGTGTGTGTCATTGACATGTCGTCTTTCACAAAGTTTGAAATAACAGTAAGTGCTTGGGAACCAAAAGAAGAGATTAGGAACCTTTGCATATTCATTGAATGCCCCCCGTTTTTCATCTGTTACTTTAAAACTGCTTTTGTAAGGACTGTGGTATATTTTAGTGTTTTATCTGTATGACAGCATTTTTCTAAATTTTTAGCTGTTTCTGGGTTGTAATCTGCTTGCAGAGGCCCACTTACCATTGAACTCAAGAGCTAGCTTTCTCTAGAGCTTCTGTGGTGGAGTAAATCCGCAGGCAGTGTTGCCCGGGGACTGACGAAGGGAGTCTCGTCAGCAAGTCATGCCGCCCGTCAGACGGTGTCACCCGGCCACGTGCTCTGGTGCTCCCGCTGTCTGCTTTGTTCCCTAACCCTGCAGTCCACCGGGGACCAGGCGCTGGAAGTCCTACAGTACCTCTTCTCCAACGACCTGGATGTGCCCGTGGGCCACATCGTGCACACCGGCATGCTTAACCAGGGTGGGGGCTATGAGAACGACTGCAGCATCGCGCGCCTGGGCAAGCGCAGGTGAGGCCCGCGGCCGCCCCCCACAGCACGCGGCAGAGCCGAGCGCGGGGAAACCCGGTTACACCGAGGACAAAGAGGTTTCTGTCACTCATGGCCTGTTCATTGGCCGTGCAGTACAAACGGAAATCACAAGGAAAGGAAAGGAGAAGAAACCACCCCAGATTATATAAAACTCCATGTGGACAGAGCAGTCACCCTAGGGGGCGGAGACGTTTGCTTACGGTAGTAGGTCTGTATGCTCTCTTGGCACCGACAGGAAGCCCAAATCTTCTTCTTTGTCCTGACGTGGTAGATCCTGGAATTAGGCGCTGCTGGCCCTCTGCAAGCTAGGAGTCCACTTGCTGGTCTTCTGGTCATTGGTTGCTTTGAAATGAGTTAACCTGCCTGCTTCCTGACCCTTTCTATGCTGCCTGGCTTTGATTACTGTCCGTCTCCCTTTCAGTTTCTTCATGATTTCCCCCACCGACCAGCAGGTCCACTGTTGGGCCTGGCTTAAGAAACACATGCCGGAAGACAGCAACCTGCTTCTGGAGGACGTCACCTGGAAATACACCGGTAAGGGGGCCCTCTGGGGTCAGCTGCACAGGAAAAGGCCAGCCTGTCCAGATTTGTCTTCTCCATTTGCCTTCTATTTGACGTTCAGAAATGGGGGTCAGAGTGAGAGGTGTGCAAGAGGTTTTCTGGTCGCACAACATTGATCTCTAATACCCACGTTTTTGTCAGTGAGGTGTGGAGTGAGTTGTGCTTTAGTTTTGTTTTGTTCACTGCTATATCCCGTGTAGCCAGCATGGAGGAGTGCAAATATTGGTTGAATGAATGGGAAAGTTGTTTTTTTTTTTTTTTTTTTTTAAAGATTTTATGTGTCTGACAAGGCACCTGGGTGGCACGGTTGGGCATCCGACTCTTGATCTTGTCTTAGGTCATGATCTCAGGGTTGGAAGATCAAGCCCTGCGTCGGGCTCATCGTGGAGTCTGCTTGAGATTCTCTCTCTCCCTCCCTCTGCCCCTCCTCCCTCTGGCGTGCATGCACTCTATCTCTCTAAAATAGATAAATCTTCCTTTAAAAAAGATTTATCGGGGCGCCTGGGTGGCTCAGTCATTAAGCGTCTGCCTTCGGCCCAGGTCTTGGTCCCAGGGTCCTGGGATCGAGCCCCGCATCGGGCTCCCTGCTCGGCAGGAAGCCTGCTTCTCCCTCTCCCACTCCCCCTGCTTGTGTTCCCTCTCTCGCTGCGTCTCTCTGTCAAATAAATAATATCTTAAAAAAAAAGGGGGGGCGCCTGGGTGGCTCAGTTGGTTAAGCGACTGCCTTCGGCTCAGGTCATGATCCTGGAGTCCCGGGATCGAGTCCCGCATTGGGCTCCCTGCTCGGCAGGGAGTCTGCTTCTTCCTCTGACCCTCCTCCCTCTCATGCTCTCTGTCTCTCATTCTCTCTCTCAAATAAATAAATAAAATCTTTAACAACAACAAAAAAAAGATGTATCAGCGGACTCCATGCTGAGCACTGAGCCCAACATGGGCCCCAATGAGCCCAACACGGGCCCTGATCTCACGACCCTGAGATTGTGACCTGAGATGAAATCAAGAGTCAGATGCCCAACCAACTGCACCACTCAGGTGCCCAGAAAAGTATTTTTTAATTTATTGCTTAAGTATTATTTTCTTCAAAATTTCCCCTTAGCTTTTTTAAGTGAGTGAATAATTTGGGGGGATGACTTAATTTTTTGATCGTCTCCTCCTCAGCAGTCCTGTGGGGGAGCAGGCCCCCTCCACGTCCACATTCTCGGTTTAAGGCCTGCCCCTCCCACTTCACTAACACCTGCCCTTGTCCCCAACAGGCCCTCACTCCCAATTCATCATGGCACCAACCACATTTTCCTTTTTGCCACCAGACTGGCAGACTGTGGGAGCAAAGCTGTCTAGCCTGTGAGGACGGCTGACGTGCGGTTACCACCAGCTGCCGTCACATGATGGACTCCAGGGTGGTTGGGCGGCTCTCCTCAGGGCTCTCCTCCCGGTGCAGATTTGGGAGTGGGCTCTTCCCGTCCCGTGGCAGCACTGGGAAGAGGGAGGCAGTGGGAACTGTGCGGGGAGTTCATGGCCAGGCCTGGAAGCGGGCTCTTGTCATGGGCCAGGCCGTGGTCGCACGACCCCAGTGTCGCGGCCGAGGGGGCTCTGGGGCGCTGTCTGCTCACCAGCAGGCAGGAGCTGCACTTAGCAGGCCTGTCGAGGGGTGTGTTTGCCAGAATGGAGGTGCTCTCTGTCCGCCCTTGGGTTGCCTGAGCAAAGGGTTGCTGTCATGGTCTCAACACCCAGGCCTGGCAGTAAGGGAGCAAGTCCAAAACAGACTTTGCTCTTGGGCTCAGCTGTCACCTGGACTGGCATCTCTTGTTCTTTTCTGTTTAGCCCTCAATCTGATCGGTCCCCGAGCTGTGGATGTGCTGTCTGAGCTGTCCTACGCCCCTATGACTCCAGACCACTTCCCAAGTCTGTTTTGCAAGGTGGGTGCTAATAAAGTTTTAGTTTTTTAAATGAGTAGGGATTATTTCTTTTATAGGGATGGCAATTACATGTTCTTACTACAGCATCAGTGCCCACAAAGGGTGTTGTGGTTTTCATTAAGCAAACAAAATGAGTAAATTGATTTATTTTTCACTATTCCAGGTCTCCCTATTCAGTAAGCATTAGGATATCTTTCAAATGGATTTAACTTCTCTGATTATCAGCCCTATATATTTATTGCTTTGTGTAGCAGTGGATTAAATTTTGTAAGTTAAAGGGTTATGACACGGATGCCAAAACATTCTAGTTAAGGTCAGGTGCCCTCTCTCCATGCAGTGCTTCCCCCTTTCCCTTCACAGGGTAACTTCTGTGTACTGGCATCTCTAGGGGAGCCGCAGTCTAGGTGAATCCCTGAAGAGCTTATGTAAGTTTCTTATATTTGGCAACAGTAGCAACTTGTAACTGAGTAAAAGAAATGGCAACTGAATACTGCTAAGAGAGGTCCAAACAGACCAGTGGTTTGGTAACCTGTAACAAACAGCTGGGGGACGGTTACTGATGAAGGCTCTGGGAAGTTCAAACCCCAGCTGGGATCTGCCTACTGACTGTACAGTTTTTTTTCTTCATGGCGGAGGGAAAGCAACAGAAAACTGACCGTTAGCCATCAGCAGACCCTCGCTTGCATGGTTTGCTTCCTGCACGAGGGACCCACGTGCGTGAGCCTACAGAGTAGCGTGTCGGGCTCCCCGTGGGAGTAGTTTGCTACGGTGCCATCTGGGACCTGCCACTTCCAGGATAAGAACAGCGATTGTGTCAGAGGCTCGTTAGGTAACTGAGCCACCGTAAACACATGTTGAGCATTAGAAGGCCAGCCTCTGACCCCAGAGAAGCAGGTGCACTGTGTTCTGTGGCCATCAGGTGTCCTCTTTTGTTGGACAGGTGCCCAGGACTTGCCAAATCCCCCGGAGAAGACATTTACCCGGTGTTCGTTGCTCCTCATGCCCCTGACTAAACTTAACAAACCGTTAGCAGGATTTTGTGAAAAGAAATGTTTCATGCTTGTAAAGACTTTGCCTCCACTTCCCACCAGCAGCTTGGCTGGCCCTCCTCTCATCAGAAGAGAGACTGCAGAGACAGTACTCCATCCCTGGTGACCCCAGTACTTGGAAACAGACCACTTTGAGGATGCATTTCTTTCATTGACATATATGTCCTTTAGGCTCAAACAGAGGGTGCAGAGCTAATGAGAGGGGTTCATGTCAGGTGGTCATCACTTTAAGAAATGCGGAGGGCTCACTTCCTCTGAAGAGTCTCCATACTCAACTTCTCCCTTTGCTTCCACAGGAGATGAGTGTGGGCTACGCGAATGGCATCCGGGTGATGAGCATGACTCACACAGGAGAGCCGGGATTCATGCTTTATATCCCCATAGAGGTGAGCCTCCCGGAGGAAGGCGGCTGGCTTTCCCACGCCTGCTGGGCCCTGGCAGGGTTAGAGAGCCGGATCGGACCGGGCCTTGGGAATTGAGATAGGCTGCAGTAGAGGGACTTCAACATTTTGAACTAAATCATTTCCTTTTTGAATAGAAAATACATTTACACGGTTTAAAAATCAAAATCTGTAGGAAGGATTTAGTGCCACCTGACCAGTTCCCACCAACCACCACTAATGATCCAACTCTTAGTTTTTGTAGGTCATGTCGGAGATTCTGTGCATACACAAGCAAGTTCAAAGACACTCCTAACCCTTTTTTAGAAACACAGTTGGAAGCATACTGATGTTCTTCTTGATCTCTTAATAATGTATTAGAGAGCTCCTTCCCAGGCAGTACCTAAAGAGGAGAGCTTCCTCCTCATTTTTTATCCGTGGTTAGTAATCCTTCACCTCGCCGAATCCTCATTTACGCCATCAGTCTGGTACCAGTAGACGTCTGTTTCTTTCTTTTTTTTTTTTTAAGATTTTTTATTTATTTATTTGAGAGAGAGGATGAGAGAGAGCAAGCACATGAGAGTGGGGAGGGGCAGAGGGAGAAGCAGACTCCCTGCCGAGCAGGGAGCCCGATGCGGGACTCGATCCCGGGACTCCAGGATCATGACCTGAGCCGAAGGCAGTCGCTTAACCAACTGAGCCACCCAGGCGCCCGACGTCTGTTTCTGTAGCGCTTTGTGGTGCTTTGCTGGTACAAGCAGCTGTGTGTACGAGTCTTCCCGTGGCGCCCGCGCCGCTTTCACCTCAGCCGGTAGGTGCGGCGCTCGCACTGCGCTCTGCTGGGTGTGAGATGAAGCCGTTTCTGAACCCATTTCCGAGTAAAAGCTCATCAGTAGCACTGACGCACTCCTGCCTGCCTGCGCCCCATCCCGTTCTTCTGACCTTATCCTGCCTCCTCTGCCTCGTGAACACGCTGCTCTCCAGCCTCGGGGGCTTCGCACTCGCTCGTGCCTTCCCTGGCCTGGCCTCCCCCCCGAGAGAGGCTCTCGCGGCCGCACCTGCTTCAGGGCTTGTTCACATGGCATCTTCCGAGGTGGCCGTGCGGGCGCAGCCTCCACCCCACGCCCGGCTCTCCCGCTCCGCTTTCCCTGTGTGGTTTTGCTGCACGGCTTATCACTGTCTGGTAAAATGTATTTTATTTCGTTCATCAGATTACCCTTATTTAAATGTAAGTTCTCTGAGGCAGGAATATTTAACTTTTATATCCCCAGCACCTAGAGAAGTATTTGGCACATAGTAAATGCTTAATAAATGTTGCACGGATGAATGTTCTGGGCATACCCTCCGTGCATTTTTGTATTGAATGATTGGTCTTTTTACCAATTTCTAGGCATTGTCTGAATCAGTCCTTGCTGTTGAGGTGTATCCCAGTTTGTCATTTGTCTTCTTTTTTTGAAGATTTTATTTATTTTAGAGTGTGTGCACAAGGAGGGGACGGGCAGAGGGGGAGAGAGTCTCGGGCCGACTTGGCACTGAGCAGAGAGACCAATGTGGGACTTGATCTCAAAACCCTGAGTTCGTGATCTGAGCTGAAACCAAGAATTGGAGGCTTTAACCACTGAGCTACCCAGGTGCCCCCCAGTTTGTCGTTTGTCTTTTTTTTGCCACATAGGTTTTTGTTTGTTTTTTAATTATGAGAAATGTTTCATACGTTGCAGAAATTTTTTCAATTTTTATGTAATTGAGTTGATCTTTTGTGCCTTCTAGAGTTTGATGCATAGAGGGGACTTCTCCAGGATTATAAAATTTTTTCAGTTTTCTTCTAGTGCTTTTATAGTTGTGTTGTTCTGTTGTATGGGTTTGTGTTTTGTTTTGGTTTTTTTTTTAACATTTCAATGCTCCATCCTTTTGCAGTGTCTCTTGCTGTACTTCGAGAGATAGGATCAGACTTTTTTTTCCCATATGGATAAACAGATTTGGCATTCTACCCTTACCAGATCCTAAATTCCTCTATGTATTTGGGTTTATTTCTGGACTTCCATTCTGTTCCCTTGGTCTATCCATAATCAAGATCACACTGTTTTAATTACTGAGTATTATGTATTTTAATATTTGGTTTGCTCTTATCTCCCCTTCATAGCTTGGAAAACTCTGGAAGGAAACCATTCCTGTTTCCTTATTTCCCCTTGGAAACTATAATTATCTAGTTAAAAACACTGCATTTTTTTGGATTATGTTACCATTTATACATTAGAAGAACTGACATGATGTATTGAATCTTACAAAGAATGCCTTTTAGTTTAGTTCTTTTTTTAAAGATTTTTATTTATTTGACAGAGAGACAGTGAGAGAGGGAACACGAGGAGTGTGAGAGGGGAAGCAGGCTTCCTGCTGAGCAGGGAGCCCGATGCGGGGCTGGATCCCAGGACCCTGGGATCATGACCTGAGCCAAAGGCAGACGCTTAATGACTGAGCCACCTAGGCGCTCCGCCTTATAGTTTTTATTTAAGTTTTTTTGGTGACCTTTCAGAGGTATTTTTAAGTTTTCTTCATGTAGATGTTACAATATTTTGTTGTTGCTGTTGTGAATGAGAAGGGTGTCTTTGTTCCATTATCTTCTAAGTGATTATGATTTTTTTTTGAAGATTTTATTTGAGTAAGTGCACAAGGAGGGGGAGAGAGGTGGGGGGGGGTGAAGCTGAGCCGGGAGCCAGATGCAGGGCTCAATCCCAGGACCCTGAGCTGAAGGCAGACATTGAACCAACTGAGCCACCCAAGCACCCAAAAGTGATTGTGATTTTTGAAAGCTATTTTTTTTTTTTAAAGATTTTTTTTATTTTTATTTATTTGAGAGAGAATGAGACAGAGAGCATGAGAGGGAGGAGGGTCAGAGGGAGAAGCAGACTCCCCGCTGAGCAGGGAGCCTGAAGCGGGACTCGATCCCGGGACTCCAGGATCATGACCTGAGCCGAAGGCAGTCGCTTAATCAACTGAGCCACCCAGGCACCCGAAAGCTATTTTTTCTATTATAGTCTTTATTTCTTACTAATTATCTTATAGTTGTTTTTTAGTTGAGTCCCTGGAATTTTCAGGGTCCAATCTTAAATACATACATTAATAGTTTTTTCTTAACTTTTATTCCTACAGTTTCTCTTGTCCAGCTGTGACAAGGCATAGGGATCCTAGGCATCATTGTCTTGTTCTTGATGTTAGTCACATTACTTACAGCCTTAGGCTTTGTTTTAGTTACTAGCTGAAGCATGCATTTACCATCTCATGGAACTTTATGTGCTTGTCCAGACAAATATAACAATATTAAGATGAAGGGATTACTCATGGTTTGCGAAGAGTTGGTACAGAGGTAGTTGACTTGTGCTTGTACAGGTAAGGATCGAGTCTGAATTTGCCACTTGGATGCGTGTGTCATGAACTGGCCAAACCCGATGAAGAGGGGGAGGCTCTGTGGCTCCAGCAGCTTCATTACTTGAGCCTTGGTTTCTACCTCTGATTATCCTGGGCTGGTCCCGTTTTTTATTTTCCATGAGTCCAGGAGGTGATTTGTGCCATGCCTGGGTTCTTTTCAAGCTGGCTTTTGTCCTCAAGGAGGTTATACAGTTGACCCTTGAATAATGTGGGGGTCAGGGTCAAAGCTCCACATAGAACTTTTGATTCCTCAAAAAGCTGAACTAATAGCTTACTTTTGACTGGAAGCCTTACTGATCACAGAAGGAGTTGATTGATACATATTTTGTGTGCTCTGTGTATTGTGTACTGTCGTCTTATAATCTAGGAAGCTAGAGAAAGTGTTAGTAAAACCCTAAGGAAAATACATTTACGGCCCTGTACCGTATGGAAAAATCCACGTAGAAGTGAGACCCACGCAGTTCAAACCCATGGGAACTATACTTGTCAGCTATACTGGTCTCTGAGGGAAATGTCTCCGAAAACATGGTGGCAAATGGCAGATTCTTGTTCTGTTCACACTAAATCCCCAGCACTTAGAAAATGAGGACACGCTGGGGAGTTGTTTTTCTCACCTAACCAAGACTAGTTACCTGCTTTAAATCTCTCTTCCCTGGCCTTCCTCTTAACTCCAGTATCCAGCTTGAGACTGGAAAGCACTGAACGGAAGGCACCAGGGATGCGGGCCCTTTATTAATGTCGTTTCCCTGTCAGTGTCCCCCCTGCCCCCATTCAGGGGCCCGGCTCACTCATACAGGCGCCACAGCTGGGTGTGGATTCGGTAACACAGGGGCTCTTCTAGGGGCTTTTCCCGCGGGCCACGTCCTGACCACTGTGGCCCGTTCAGTAGATGCCGACTCAGCCCAGGGAGTGCGACTGGCAGTGCATCGGACCCCCCCCCTCCCCCCCTCGGGGGAAGAACTGCAACGCCAGGGAAGCCGGGTGTTTTTTTGGTTTTCCATTTTTATTGAGCCGTCGTGGGCACATGTCACTGGTCAGGTTTCAGTGCGCAGCCTGGTGGACGGACAGGTCCCGTGAAAGAACTTCTGTGCTCAGTTTCACGAGCGTCCCTCGACTCAGAGATGCTGTAAGAAGCACTAAAGGGGTTTTCCTTGTGATGAAGACACTTAGGATTCACTCTTAACTTCCGTATCTGTCACACAGCAGGGTCCCTGCCAGGGCCATTAGGTGGTTCGCTCCCTCCCTCCCTCGTTCTCATTTGTCTCCTACCTGGAAGTCTGGGCCTTCTGCGCCCTTCCTCCACTTCCCCTCCTTGCACTTCCCAACTCTCGAACCACAACCCTGGTCTCTTTTTCCGTGAGTTGGCGTTTCTTTGTGGTTTTAGATTCTGCTTAGAAGTGCAATCGTACGATATTTCTCTGATTTCTCGTCGTTTTGTCCATGTTAAAGTTTTAAAGCAAATAATGTCGTCTGTTCTGGGCTTTAGATTCCACATAGCGTGTTTAGGTAGGGATTGAACATTTGCTTTGTTTGGAAAACTTTGTTTACTTAAGCTATCCAGTACTTACAGTTTCTGGAACCGAGAAGAGAATGCCACGAGAGGCTCGCTGTTGTGGGACACAGGTCGGGGCGCGCTGCCTTCCTGGCTCCTCTGGGACTTGATCTGGGTCTCCCGATGTGCCATCATCTGTGACCAGTCAGACTGTACACAGAGTTGTGTGTGACCCCCATTTCATGGCACAGGCCGTGCATGAGGGGTCACGGGGGTGGTGAGTGGGGCAAGAGAGCAAGGGGCAGAGGAGCGGGCTGTTGGAGAGGCAGTTAGGGGCCTGGCCACGGATGGGGTGTTCGGAGTGCGTCTGGGATTCGCACTTGAGGACCGCTCCCTGTCCTAGGCTCCATAGAGAAGGGATATGGGTACTGCTTTCATGGAGCTTAAACTGGGGTTAGGGGTGACCCTGGCTCATGACCCCTGGGCTGTAGTGCTTTGTTGTGTCAAGGATGAGACCTCTTGAGAATTTCGTACACCCTTCTGCCTTGTCAAGGTGCAGGCGGCCCGCCATCGGCACTGCAGCCCCAGCCCGTGTTGAATGCTGCGGGTGGGCGGGTCACTGACCTTTGGTCTCCCCCTCTAGTATGCCCTGCACGTGTACAACGAGGTGATGAGTGTTGGGCAGAAATACGGAATCCGGAATGCTGGGTACTATGCTCTTCGTAGTCTTCGAATTGAGAAGTTTTTTGCCTTCTGGGGTCAGGATTTAAATACCCTCACCACCCCCCTGGAATGTGGACGAGAATCTCGGGTGAAACTGGAAAAGGTACTGTACCTGCACAGCCCACTGCCCCCCCCCCCCCCCCCGCGCGCCGCACCGGAGCTGACTCTGCCTCAGAAAGGAAGGGCTGAGGGGAAGGCCCAGGGGTGGCCGTGGGTCAACGAGGACAAGGAGGAGGTCCTTAGAATGAAAAATGTCTGTCCTAGTAAGAAAACGTTGTGAGCACTTGGCTCCCGCCAACCCCCCCCAACCCTGAGCTCGGGAGCTGCGTGCCCCACTGTCTGAAGCAGCCAAGTGCCCTGCTCGGCGCTCCTGCAGACTCTGGGCTTCCAGGGAAGGTTCTCCAGTAACGTGCCACGGACGTGTGTACACAGTACTCCTCTTACATTCAAATGTCTCATTTTTTGTTTTTTTTCAAAGTAAATATGACCTTTTTTTTTTTTTAAAAGTCCTAGGTCAAGAGGATGTTAGTGACGAGTCTCTTTCCCACCTCTGCCCCCCACCGACCCGCACTCCGAGCTGCCCCAGCGGCAGCGTCTCCGCTCTGCCCTCCCCACCTGCCCCCAGCCGGCCCTCCACATGCTTGCTCGCTGCAGCTCAACAAAATCTTAGTCCTTCCCTCGCAGTGCAGTAGGTCTCTAGTCTTCAGATAACGATTTTTCTCTGCTATAAAAGTAATACTAATTTTGGAAAATAGGGAAAAGAATGAAGAAAAATTAAAAACACGTTTTATCTGTTCATAATCACTCAGTTTCTATCCTGGTGAGGTTTCTTGTACAAACCTGTATGCACTGAATATAGATGTATATGCATGGGCTTTTTGTCGAAATTATATAAAAACATGTTTTTCTAAAATAATTGTAGCGAGTACGTTTGGAGGATTTTTCTTCCTAAATATTTTTTTCTATGTGGTCTTGTGGGTGAACTCTGAAAAATGTATGCCTGTGTTACAGAAGTTCTCTGAGGTCTTTTAATATGGTGAAAGCAGGTTTTCATGCGGTGGGAAAGCCGCGCTGGGGGGCGAGTGCGGCCTCCAGCGCGGCCGCCCCGTCTCAGCCTTGCCCTTCCTTCCCAGGGGATGGACTTCATCGGCCGCGATGCCCTGCTGCAGCAGAAGCAGAATGGGGTGTACAAACGCCTCACCATGTTCATCCTGGACGATCACGACACCGACCTGGACCTCTGGCCGTGGTGGGGAGAGCCCATTTACCGCAACGGGCAGTACGCAGGCAAGACCACCAGCAGTGCCTACAGCTACACCCTGGAGCGCCACGTCTGCCTGGGCTTCGTGCACAATTTTTCTGAGGACACTGGGGAAGAGCAGGTGGTGACAACAGATTTCATCAACCGGGGGGAGTATGAGATTGACATCGCGGGTCACCGGTTCCAGGCCAAGGCGAAGCTCTACCCGGTCACCTCGCTGTTCACCCACAAGCGCCGGAAGGATGACGTGGAGCTCAGTGACTTGCACGGGAAGTAATGGCCACTAGCCTCGCTTCCCCACCTGCCCCCTCCCGCAGGGCTCCCCCCCCACCACCACCCCCGTCCTCCCAGCTCCTTGATGGGATTTTAAACTTCACCCGCTTTTAAACCTTTTGCTTTGCAGCCTCTCTTCTTCCACCTTCCCTCCTCCCTTCTGCACTTTCCCATCTGCTACTCATTCTGGGCTGTTCTTCCCACCCATGCCTTCACCCCCCCGATTCCCGTGGCGACATGAAGCATGGCTGATGGGCAGGACGGGTGCAAACTCCACTTGTGGAAGTAGGTAACCGTGACGGTCTGATTTCTAATGTTGTGCCTCGAAGCAAGGGAAGCGGGGGCTAACTTTTCTCGGAGCGCCCACCCGCTCATTTTGGTGGGTGTTGCGTGCTTGACTCAGCGCTTTGCGTGAGCCCGCCCGTGCTGCGCCAGGCAGACCATTCTCCTTTCCCACTGGGCTGTGGGTGGGCACCCTGACCCCTCTAGCAAGAGGATGACCATCTACCTCACTCATGAGCGGCATCACGTGGACGTTACCTGGTCTCTAGCGAACAGCTGACCTGGCTCCGGCCTAAAATTCCTTCTGTCTCAGAGGGTTTGTTGGCCTGAGTAAACAAGCCGGTGTTTGAAAGGGAAAAACCATGTTGCCTTTTGTGTTGCTCTTCCCAGCTGAAAGGGTCTGCTCTCCGGAGGTGCTCAGCACCGAGCTGGTTTCCCGCCCGTAGAAGGCTGCTGCTTCCCGCCGCCCGAGGCTCGGTGACCTGAGCCAGCATCTCCCTCACCTGTCCCTCGTGCGGCAGGCGTTGCTGTCCCTGCGGAACAGGCTGGGTGTGCTGTCCTGGTGGGGAACCAAACCTTGCTGGCCGGCCTCCCATGTTTGGCTTCCTCTGGCCCAGAACAGGCAGGTCCCCCCCGACTGACCCCACGGGTCTGTGGGTCTGCCAGCCAGCGCCCTGGGTCTCTGGAATGGAAAAGGGCCTGGGGCGTCGGGAAGGCCCTCCACACTGTTAGGCAGGCTCTACGTCCATCCTGTGCTGTTCCAGATTTTAAACCTTTGTCGTGGTAACTTGGCAGCGTTAGCTCTGATAGGTCTCTGTACGAGAGAGTCTTTTGTTTTAGAGCAGCTTAAAATTCTCAGGCGGGTCTGTCTGTCGTGGCATTTCTTGGGGTGTTTACTTAATCAGATGGATTCCTTCTAGACACTGCTTGCCATTTCCCCAGCCAGACAACTCCTACTTGATTACTGACTGCTCAAGGAGGTCTCGATTGATTTATTAAGGGAGTAGGTCGTTAGAACTCTGTTCCCTGAGAGCTGCTGCCCCCTGGGTAGGGAGGAGAAAGGCGCAGAGCGGTCGCCCCGCTGCAAAGCAGAGTGCAGCAGCTGAGGTGCGCACAGGAGAGCGGGCGCTGGGCCGACGCGGCAGGGGCCCAACTGACCAAGGAACGCGGCACTTGAAGTACGCCGTGCTCTGTGCCACGCTCGGCTTTGTAAATGAAGGATTATTCAGGGTTGAATCTAAAAGACATTCTAGATTTGTGTGTTAAGGGTCACACTTGTAAGACTCTGGTGAGATGTTAATATCCTGGGGCATCACTTGTCTATTGAGGGCCCTGACACACACTTCGCTTCTGCCACTTTGACACCCTTGAAATCTCTTGCTTAATTCAGACATCATCAGTGTGAATCGGGTAGTTTCTCTCTCTGGTCCTAACTCTGAAGGGGGTGACTCACTCCTGTCTCCTTGCACACCGGGCAGTCAGGCCACGTGCATTTACCTTGTGTGATCACTCGTCTCTCCCTAGAGATCCCTCAGATCTGGACTCCCAGACTGTACGATGGCTGGTCCTTTTTCTCTCTGAAATGATCCGCCGTCACCTCTTGTGCTCTCTTGAGGGAGGGGCTCTACTCTCTTCTTTTTGAACCTGGAAACACAAAGTGTACCGGCCTCAAGCAGATGAAAACTCAGGGCTGCCCGTCTCCTGTGGCCCCTCTCCTCCCTGGGAACACCTGCTTACTCGTGCCACAGGTAAATCCTGGTTCCCTGCCGTGGTTACTTGTCTTATATGGAAGCTCGCAGCAGAGACACTACCTGTCCATAACAAGGGCAAAGTCAGGAAAGCTCTAATTTGGAAAATATAAGAGCGAGGGACAAGAACGACCTGCTAACCTGTGTTAGGGCAGGACCTGCTCCAGGAGAGAGAACCCAACAATTCCCACTACATTTCTAGTGCTCTGCTGGGGGCGGGGGTCTCTCCCTGTACCCCCAAATACAAGAGCTGCCGTTCAGGCCAGGGGCCCAGAGACCACTTAAGCTCAGTGATTAACCTCAGTTACCCCATTTCTGCAGGAGAAACCCCATCACTTGGCTTCTCACCAGGAGACATGTCCATGGATTCTACCTTCTTGTACAGACCAACAGTTTTACCTCTTTCCAAGAAAGTCACTAAAACAAGTGAAAAGTAACTCCACTTTCTCCATTACCCTGCCTCTGAGTGCATTTGAAATGTTAACACCCCCCCCCCCAACCCCCACGGATGCAGCAGGAATGACAGCAGCTTTCTGAAAGTCGTTTAGCTTCACTGAAGAGCTGACCCCTCACCTTGCTTTCTGGCTTGGTTTATCCTCTGCCTCATGGACACGTGTGCTGGCATCGGAGTGAGTCTTTACCCTCCTCTGAGAACCTAAGGGACATAAAAGGGAAGCTTCTATAACCTGTTGTCTTGGTTCTGACCCTAGAAGGCTGTGTCCCGGCTGACTTTCAGGGGTAGCTACCGGGTGCAATGTTCTCTTTGTAGCTGCCTGACCAGTATAAGCAGCAAGGAGCAGCAAGGCTCCCCTTTAGTGTCCAAGGTAGAGGTGTGGTCACTAGTGCTTAATACTGAAAACTTTCTACTGTTTGTTTCCATTTCCTTTTGCACACCCCCCTGCACCCCCATCCCTCCCCAAATTGATAAGAGCAGCTTTTATCAGCACGATAAAGGGAACATTTTCACGACTCAAGAAGAGTCATTTGCAGGCACATGGATGCAGGAGCAGCACCGCAGAGGGGCAGAAATGGTAGCTGACCGAAGGGTCGTGCTAACCGTGTCCCACTGTGAGCGAGCCCCGGCTCTGCCTGGCAGCCCCCACCTCGGCCTCCTCCACTGCAAGGTGCTGAGTTGTAAGGCTCCCTCCCCACCCGCACAGGGATTGCATTTGCAGTCCCTCATCACTACAAATGCACTATTTTTCCAGAGAACTAAATATTTTTGTATGTCTTTGCCTTCTCTGTCCATTAAACACCAGAGTTATTCATTGTATAATATGATTCTTGACTTCTCTGAGCAGAGACTCTGCATCCCTTGAAGAATTAGACATTTCTTCATGGGCTCGCTTTCTCTTATTTAGATGTACCTATTTTTACCCTTCGCAAACCTTTTCTGCCTTCTCGGTTTTCTGTCTCTCAAGGACAGAAATTACAAGAGGGTGGAGAGGATATTTTTAGCATCTGTTTGAAAAGATCTATGCCAGGATTTCCTTTGCACACCAAGAACTGGAGCTGGGAGCACCTCTCTTTAAGCCCGGTTCTCGTGCCTTACCCCAGAATGTCCCATGGTGGGTGTAGACCGGAAGGACGGAAAGAAACTTCATTTCAGTCTGAGGGTTCCCATCCACCCCACCATAGCCTCCCTTCCCCAGATCAAGCAGGTGAGGGGTAGAAAGTTTCTGCAGCTTGTTTCAATCGGGGTTTCTAGCAGCATAGTTAATACTCTCGGGTCTACTCTTGGGATCCAGGAAATGCCACTGTAATGATTGTACAAGGCTGTAACTCCTTATTTACGTTTATAAATGTGCAGTTCGCTCAGCCCCTTTCTGTCCCTGTGTAGCATCAGCTTGTGGTGCTGAAGACATCGGAGGCACTTTAGGGGCTGGGATTTTTCTCAAGAGCTCTGATGACTTCAGGTACCTAGGGGGACTGAGCATTTCTGCCTCCATGAATGCGGTATTAATATTGTGCACTGTGTTTCTATCAAGCCAGATTCCAATTAAGATTTTCTTTTCGTATTACTAAGTTTGTAAATGAATAAACAGACATTTTAATTACTCTGGCCGTGTCCACTTGTGAAATGTTCTTCAACTCTAGTAACTCAATAAATATATTTGCCATCACAAGGAGTAAACACTTTCCATAAAACCATTTATACTATTACCAAAGAAGAGAAACATGTGGAAACCAAGGGTAAGCTATTAACCTCCACAGCGTGGTGGCAGCCTGGAGAGAGCGCCTCGGACTGTCGTCCTGAGGTTACTCTCTGTTGATGGATCTGACCTCCCCTCCTGCCGGACAGTTGATTACATAATAAGAACCTGGTGCTTGACATACCACCCATCTACCTGAGAACCCACACTGGTATGTGAAACAAACTCTGTATATTCTTAGTCACACAGTAGGAAGAGAAGAAAACAGAAGCACCCGGTGATTCTCACTATACTAACCTAAAAGTCAGTCACTGGACTTTATTACCCAGCTATTTTATGAGCAACTACATCTGTGAATCACTAGATAGGCTAATATGTCTATAACAATCTCATTAACTGATCTTCCAAACCTACTTGTTAAATTTCCAAATTACTGAATGGCGAGCATTCAATACAAAAGTACATCCCACAGGCTTCAAGACTAATTCCAAAAGAAGAGTTCTCAAAACATTGTGCACAATGACATTTCTGGAATATCCCACAGTGATTACTTTGAAGGGGACGGTTCTCGAATTAAGTGTACCTCCTCCTCATTATTAATATACCAGATTACATACATCCATTACACGCCACATTAGCAACAGGGAACTCTAGGAAGGAAGCACCCAGCAAGCAGGGTCTGAGCAAGGAAGACTTACCTTCCAGCCCCTCCACCAAATGAAAGGCCAGCAGAGTTCATTCCCGCCAGTACAAAGTAGCCCTGAACTGAAGGAGACTCGCCCATGATGCACCTCATGTCTGGGGTGAAGGTCTCGGGGCAGTTCACCAACTTCAGGATCTCCAGAGTCTCCAGGTCTGGCATGAGACGCAGGAGGGAACACATCAGGGGCTCTGAGCCATAAAAACAAAGCCAAACACAGGCCTCAGCTTTAGGGAATTCAAACTCATCCGCTCCTTGTGTTTCCCGACTCCTCTCCTCTCAGAAAATCTCCTGGAAGAGGCTTTCTGAGGTGAGCCAAATGGGCCCTGGTCAGAAAGCACATACCACATAAATGCACTGTCTTCTGAGGATTAGCATTGTAATATCGGGCAATCCAGGTTGTGCATATGTCACGTGTCTTTAAGTCTCAAAAGCGGTCCACTGACCGGCCCCTGCGCGTCCTGCCGGATAACAGAATCCTCCATCGGGGGACCCCACATCCCCTTTTCACTGCACCACGGCTGAACTGCAATGGGGGTGACAGACTGAGGGTGATCCCCGGACTCTCCCTTGCCTGACTTCCTCGCTGCCCTTCAAGCATCAAGGAGATACCAGGCCCCAAAAGGGGTTCCAGATCAGAACTCAAGTGAGACAAACTTAGCTTACAGAAAAGAGGCCTACGACTCGGGTTCCTCTAGCATCCAAGCAGGTAAGCAATGCAGGGCTCGGCAAAGCACTAGGGACCGAACCAGGGCACCGACTGCAGGGAAGTCAGTAGTTCCAGCTCGGGGCCCCTTAGGTGGGCCCTCTTCTGACTCAAACTCTGCTTACCAGCCGATTCAAGTACCTGTGGCCACCAAATTAAATCCAACCAAAAGGGACTCGCTCCCGCCTGTCCTGCACGTAGCAGGCATCCTCCCTGACAAAAGCCAGAGGTGGTGAGGCAGCAGGAACGCCTTCTACTATCTTCACTCAGAGTCCTCGCCTCTCCAAAGAAAGCCTGGCCAAGTGAGAGGTGACCGTGGGGGAGTCAGGCTCATCTGCCGGGCGGGGACCAGGGCGAGGCAAGTGAGGCGCCCGCTCTCGGCACCAAGCCGGGGCAGGGCCAGCCTGGGAGCCCTGCTTATGTGCTCGAGGTTCTACAGCCCCTTCCTTCCCCTCCTCTAGCTCCTCTCCTGGCATCTCCTCTCTCCACGAACACAGCTACCCAATCCCAGTTCCCAGACGTTCAGTCTTCATCGAGGACTTAGACACAAGGACACTTTGCCAGAGCAGGAATCCTATGAAGGGGAAATGCTATAAAACCTCAGCCTGTCATCAAAATTTCCAATACTTCAAATCTCACCTTCCCAACGAGAACCGTGTCACGGGTCACATGAGGTCTGAGCCGGCCAGCAAAGGCGACCATCCACTGTGTTTATGCTGTGACCCCCGGCAGGGCCGCCTCAGCGGGCGAACAGATCAGGCTACCATCCTTGTCAGGATTAGCCTGGAATTACCTGTGATCTGAATTATGCGGGTCTTCAAAAGAGCAACCCTGACGGACGGGGGCGTCCTGAATTTCATCACTAGGCCCCGCTCCTCCCCCGGGACATCTCCCGTGGCCACCAAACCGTTTCATCAGCCACGACGCGAGGCTCGCCCCTGGGCTCCTGGCCGATGCATCACCTGACGACACGCTGACAGACACGCTTCTAACTTGTGATCGTGCGGGACCCTCCCATGGCTCAGCCTTCCCCTTCTACTTGCTCCGGTCGTACTTAGCTCACGATTCCCTGGGTTCTTTTCCCTTGCTGACACGCATAACGGGTAGCCTCCGTTTAAGCTTTTCAGTCAGAAGAGGCCTTCGGAGCAACTGGTGAAATGCAGCGGGTCAGACCACGATTTCACCATCAAGCACCGAAACGGAAGTATGTCCTTGGCTTCTTCGTCCAGGAGCCAAGCGTGGCCACTTGCTAGACTTCAGGGAGTGAAATAATAGGAAATGGCCCGGGAAGCCTTTCCTATCCTGAGAATGATAGGCTCTGGAAAGGATCTGGGACAAGGACGGAATCCCCTCGGCGGGTAGGGAAACTGGAGACAGCCCAGCACGCCAACAGGCTTGCCCCAGGAAAGACCCTGGCGACTGGCAGAGCCCGGACTAAGACTCAAGCCCTGACCACCAGGCCGGCAGGCTGACGCGGCGTCGGGCCACACACGGCACGGAGCACCAGAGTCTGGGGCACAGGCGGACCAGTAAATGGCGGATTACCTGCTTACCTGTCTGGATCCCCGTCTCTTGCTCTAACTGGTGGTAGAGTTTGTTGGAATAGTCTGCCATCTTCTGCTCGATGGTCAAGTGCCTGGCGGTGCTCAGGATACCAGCACAGAACCTCGTAGAGCCGGCAGCCAGCCTGCAGGATGCATCCAAAATGCTATCAGGTACACTCCCACAGCTGTGAGTGCAACTAGTTCAAAGATCCTCACTATGGCATCGTGTGTCACATCGAAAGATGGAAGCAACCTACGTATCCACCGACATGAGCGGGACTGAACAGGCTGGAGGACCCCTCTACGATGGGATACTCTACACGGCCATAAAGAAAGGAACGAGAGAAAGCTTTTATGCAACAATACGGAACAACCCTAATGAAAAAAGCAAGGGGAGGGACACTGTTTAAGGTTCGCTACTAACTTGTATAAAAAAGAGAAAAAAATAATAAACGAATACCCGGGTACACGTATACAAACTGACCGATACAGATTTGCTCATATAATGACTCGGGGAGTATCTGCAACGATACACAAGGAACTTAACTTGCCTCCAGCGAGGGAACCTTCCAGCTAGAAGTCAGGGGTGGGAGGCAGAATTTCCCTGTACACTCTTTTACAATTTTCAATCTGACTCGTGTACATGTATTGCCTATTCAGAAATAAATACAAAGGACGTGTTAAAGGTCATCCAATTTCTGGTAGGCAATAGAACAGAAAAGGGACATTAGGGGAAAAGTGAAACAACTTGAACAGAGCATGAACTTCAGTTAATACTAAGGCATCCACACGGATTCACTGCATTTCACGGTGATCCCACCCTAAGGTGTTCCTCCGAGGTGCGCACGGGACCCCGGCATACGGACTGCTGCACTACCTTCACGTCTGTTCTGTAAATCTCCCACTGCTCTCGAGTGAGTGAGTTCCACGGGGAAAAGGAACAGAGATCAGGCAGGAGGTAGCCAGTTTCATCTCGGCTCACAGAGGAAGCTCCTGAGCCACGGGGTTGATGTCGCTGTGTGACTACAACGGAGAGGACAAGACGGCGAGGTGTGCCGTGACCCTGAAATGAAACGCACCCTCTCTAGAGACCTGGGTGTGCTGGAATCGGCCACCTCTGTCCAAGCCGGAAAACACGGGCGGTTTGCATCGCAAAACCGCGTCCAGGGGATGTTGCCTGCCTGTGGTTCTTGTCCTGCGACTTAGCGCCAGTCAGCTTAGCTGCTGGCGGGACAACGTTACCGGGAGGGGAGGGGCTGAGGGGAGCCCACGCAGTCTGGTCCTTACCTGCCCTGCTCCAGAAGGACAATATCCTTCCACCCCATCTTGGAGAGGTGATAGGCCACGGATGTGCCCATGATCCCACCACCACAGATGACCACCTGCGCCTGGGCAGGCAGGGCGACAGAATGCGCCTCGGCAGCCGACGCGCCGCTCCTCCCCGACGACCAGTTCTGCCATCCTCGGCCGGTCCTTTGTCTTCGGACCACCGACAGCAGCCGGTAAAACATCACGTCTGCCAGCAGCTCGGCGCGGTGCTCTCACTCGGCTACGGCAGAGACCCCCGACATGCACACTAGACGGAGAAAGCAACCAGATTTCATTCCACGTACTGTACTCAGGGCACAGGATTACTGAGAAAGGGAGAGGAGGCGCCAAAGAACGCTAATCATGCCCTCGGCCCATGTCTGAGGCCCTGCGCAGTTCCAGACGCTCTGCCAGCTGCAGAGACAGCAGGGGACAGCGAGGAGGAGGGTCTTGCCTTTATGCAGCACCTTTCATGAGAGACACAGACAGTGAGTGGGCGTGTGAGTGGGCGTGAGGGTGCCTGTGGCAGGGGCGGCCCAGACACACATAGAACAAGAACAAGGCCGGTGTGCAGCAACGCCCGACGGCGTGTGTAACCTAGGACGGTCGGGAAGAAGGGGACGTCGGAGGAGAGACCCGTGGTGACCGGGAATCAGCCGGATGCGTCTTCCGGGCAGAGGCGCAGGCACGTGCAAAGGCCCTGAGGGGAGGCCGACCCTGCGGAGTCCGAGCACGGAAGGGAGGCCAGGGTGCCCAGAGCACGAGGAGCAAGGCGGAGCGGACCCAAGACAAGGCTGGAGAGGGAGGCAGAAAGCCAGGACACACAGCGCTTGGGATGCCATCGTGACGAGCTGGGATTCCGCTCCGGGCGCAAAGGAAAATACTAAAGCAGGGAATGAAACGATCAGATATGCTTTTCCAAGATCAGTCAGGCTCCACGGCGGCGGGAAGTGGGCTGGAGAACGAGAGGAAAGGCAGGGCTGGGCAGCTGCTGCGGTAGTCCTAGAGGGAGGGCCTGGGGGTTGGGACCCGGACGGTGGCAGTGGAGTCAAAGCCACGGCTGGATTGTTCTGGAGGTGAAATGACGGCCCTGACTTACCAACAAACGGGATGTTAAAATGGGGCAGGGGGAGAAATAAGGATGATGGCAGAGTTTCTGGGTTAAGCAACTGGTGCCACTTACTACAGTATGAAGGGCTAGGGATGGGGAGGGAGGCGGGGAAGGAGAGGGAGCGAGAGGGAGGCTGCGAAAGGGTGCAGGCGCGGGTGCGCAGACAAGCCAACGTTCCCCTCTGAGGGGTCAAGTGCAAGACGCCGGGCGGGCACGCACGGGAAAAGGTCAGGCAGCAGCTGGACATCCAGGCCGGCAGCCAGGGGAACACGTGGGGTATCCGAGACCCGGCATGCTGAGGAACAAGAAGAACCCTGAGGCTCCCCAGCAGGTACAGCTTGGGAAGAGAAAGAAAGTACCGGACAGAGGACAGAGCGCTGGGCAGACGCACAGAGCATCCGGACAAACAGAAGTGGTGCAACAGACCGAGAAGGAGCCTCGGCGAGGCAGAAAAGAGAACTGGGCTGCGGTGTCACAGAAGCCGAGAGAGAGGAAAGAGTTTTAAGAAGCGGTTCGCTACGGAGGGTGCCCGGGGGTGCAGCAGGACGGCCAAGGGTCCGTCCGCTGGGACTTGACAACAGAGGTCCTTGGTGTCCCCAGAAAGAACATTCCCAGGAGAGTGCTCGGGATGAAATCCGGACCAGAGCAAGCTCCAGAGCGAGGAGATGAGGGAGTGCAGACCACTCCTTGACTTTCTGCTCCAAAGAGAGCAGAAAAACCAGCCAGCAGCAAGAAAAGAATGGGAGCAGAGCAGGGTTCTTGGTCTATAAAGGCGTGGGCCGTGGAGACTGTTTCACTGCTGGCAGGAAGGGCCAGTAAAGGGGAAAGAGGTGGGTCCGGAAGGAGAGGTGGTGACAAAGAATGAGGTCCTGGAAGAGGGGAGAGAGAGAGAGAGGACCCAAAGCCGCAGTGAGGGACAGCGTGCCCCGGGTCTGCCCAGGCCACGGGCTGGAGGGAGACTCAAGGACCAGCAGCCCTCTTTCCGGAAGCAGGGGAAGGTTAGTCCGGGTGCGCTTATCCCGCAAACTCGGGTGTCACACGCTGCGACCAAGCACACGTGTCTACGAGACAACTAGCATCATAAGGCAGAGAAGGGAAAGGGTACGGGATCGGGCCACCAGAGAGAATTACTCTCCCGGCAAAGCAGAGGCCTGTTCAGGAAACTGCAGACAGACCTGCCGGGAGACGGCAGGGTCACCGAGCGTGGGGAGAGGGGGGACGTCAGAGGACAGCCCCGGCAGACAGTGCGCCCAGCAGCATGCCAGTACCCACGGCGGGCCCCAAACAGCCCAACTCGTCCAAGGCCCAGGTGTGGGTGCCCGTCCATCACCACACAGCATCTCAGGACGGAGACCGAGCAAGGCCTCTACCGCGTCCCAGGATGAATCCCATCCAACCAGGGCTGATGACTCGGCCACCTGGCGGTAGTCACCAGGCCTCACACCCTCGGTCCCTGTCCAAGGGTCTCAAGACAGAAGCTTCTTCCTGCAACCTCGTCTCCACGTGACCAATTTCTGTCCCTCCCTCCGTGTCTCTCTCTCTGCTGTCCTCCCCTCCAGACCTCTCCACCGTGCCCTCCAGAACATCCTTTCCGGAGTTAAGCACCCGGCCCTTCGCCAGTACTGTCTCGCCTGTCTCCACGGGGACGCAGCTCTTCTGAGGGAGCGGCCACCGCCGCACGGCCAGCCCCACTCTACTGAGCTCACCACGCGGGGGGCTGGGGGGTGACTATCTGCCTCCTCCCTTCAGAACTATTACTGCTTGGTCACACTCGAAAAGGCCCAGTTCCTCTGAGGCTCAGGCTAGCAGGCACCCCCTGCCTAGCCCCGGGGCCACCGCGGGTTCAGCCACAGGCAGATGTCTGTCTACATTCGGGTTCTGAACCCACGACACTCCTCTCCCAACCTCGGACCCCACCTCCTCTCTTCCTCCCTTCAAAGCAGATAACCTGTCTCATCGCATCCCCTGAAACTCCACCAATCATCCCACTTGCATCTACAACCCTCTCTCCTTCCCTCAGAGGGTCAAAAGTTCGTCGCCCCACAAGAGCCCCGGATCCCTCTCCCTCCTTCCCTGGGACTCAGCTCCATGAACCCAGCTCCTCTTCCACGTACCTTCGGTGCTCCGCTCTGACCCTCAGCGTTTTCATATGCTCAAGTCCTCCCAACCCACCAAAGAAATGGAACAAAAGCTCTGTAACTGTCTTCGAGTAGTGTCATTTTAAAAATTCTAAATGGTAAAAAAATATGGTCTTGGCAAAAAGCACAAACGTAGGAGGCAGTTAGGACTTCCCATCAGGGCGCCTGAGTATCCGACTCCTGGCTTTGGCGCAGGTCTGTGGTCTCGGTGTCGGGGGATCGAGCCCCACGTCGGGATTCTCTCTCCCTCCGCCCCTTCCCCCACTCACAGGCACGCACGCACATGCCTGTGCTCTTTCTCTCTCTCAAATAAATAAATAAAATTTAAAACCATGATTTCCCACCATACAAAATTAGCAGTCCCAATGTGCTGCCCTGCTGCCCACCTGAGTGCTGCCGCCTGTCCCGTGTCCTTTCCTTACTCCTTGGTGACTGCAGAGTCTGCCGGCCGTCAAGCCAGAAGGGACTCTTTTTTTTTTTTAAGATTTTGTTTATTTATTCATTTATCTGAGAGAGAGAGAGAAAGAGAGAGAGAGAGAGAAACAGCACGAGAAGGGGAGAGGGTGAGAGGGAGAAGCAGGCTCCCTGCTGAGCCGGGAGCCCGATGTGGGACTCGATCCCAGGACTCCGGGATCATGACCAGAGCCAAAGGCAGTCTCTTAACCAACTGAGCCACCCAGGCGCCCCCAGAACGGACTCTTAATGTGATCTCACAGCCTGTCTTTTCACTTGACAAATACTTTCAGGAAAGGGCTTCCTATATGATCTGTCCCCTTTTCCCCGTTTCCAGTCTGTCCTGAACCCAAAGCGGTTGGGCTTCTGCCCGCCAAGCCAGGAACGCTGCTCTCACCAAGAAGGCTCACGTCGCCAACTTCCGGGGACACCGGCCCCACCTCACATCCTCTCCACAGCACCGCATATCGCCCATCGCTCCCGCTACTCACACCCCCTTTCCCGGTTTTTATCCTGACTCCCACTACCCTGGTCACGTCTTCGCTGGCTTCTCTCCCCGGCCCGTCCTTCCGAGTCCACGTCCCTCACGGTGCTCTGGGACCAGCTTCTCCCCTCGGGCCACTACTCTCCAGGGGGATTTCACTGCCTACCGTGACCGAGAGCCCAACCCACAGCAGCCCCGACCTTTGTGCCTGTACCTCTAAGCGGAACAATGGCATGTCCACTTGGGCTCCCGTAGGTCAAACCGGGCACCTCCAACAGGGAAACCCATCCTCCTCAATCTCCAAATCTGCTCCACTTCTGTGTCCCCCAGTGACACCATATTCGAGAACCCTGGGTGTTACCCTGGGCTCCTCCTTTCTCCTCTCCTCTGTGCAGCCAACCAGCATGGACTAACGATTCCACAGCCACGTTTCCCTCATTCCCACTTCTCCCCATTCCCACTGCAGCTACCTGAGTACAGGCCGCCACCCTTGCTCAGATTACTGCAGAAGCTTCCTGACGGGGCTTCTGTACACCGTTCTCCCCAACACCCCACAGTCCTTACACAGGACTCGGAGCCAGTCTTCTCAAATGCAAATCTTGTTTCACGCCCCTGCTTAAAACCCTTCAATGACTTTCTGATGTCCTCAGGAAAAGGCAATGTCCTTCACAGGAAGGGCAAGATCCCTCACTCTCTGGCTCATTTCTTATCTCTGCTCTCTTTCTCTGGAGCCACACGCAACCACCTGTAATGAACTCCTCAAACAGGACAGGATTCTGAAACCTCCGGGATCTGGGCACGCTGTTCCTCTAAACCAAACAGTATAGTTCCTGCCACTCTCCCCCCGCAGACAAAGGGAACTGCCTCAGCTCTCAGCCTATCCGACATCTTACCAGACCTCCTCTCCCCCAACACTGGGTCGGGTGACTCTTCTATGTTCTCCCATCACACCCTGCACTTCTCCCAGCACAGAGCCTCCGGACTGTGTCACGGTCTGTTCGCCAATCAGGGAAACAGCACAACCACCCAGCTGAGAATGTAGGCTTGAGAGAGAGGCAGACAGCTGTGGTTGGAAAACCTCCCCCCACCTCTCATTAGCTCTGACTTTTGGCAAGTTATGCCACATCTCTGTGCCCTGGGCTCCTCATCCATAAGGTGAGCTAGGCCTACCCACCTCACACGGTTGCTACAAACACTCAATCAGACAGGAAGGAAAAACATGGCAACGAGCACCTACGCAGCACTCAGTAAGTGGTCCTTTTCAGTCTCCTATTACGATGGAGCTCTCTGGGAGCTGAGACCAATTATATAACTTGATCATGGTTTTCCCAGCATTCAGGGGAGGCACCCAGGAAATACACATTGCCAAATGGCTGAGAGGAGAGAACACACGAGAGGGGGGAAAGTTCAATGAGGACTCTGGGATCTCAAGGCTAGGCCCGCAGATTGGAGGGGATATCTAAGTCACGTGACAGAATTTTTAAAACAGAAAATGGTAATATCTTCATAGGCAGTTACAGTCGGCCAGATGCTGCTTCAGGCGTGTACAACGGACTTAAACCTCACAACCCTACCAGGTAGATACTAAAGTTTCTTTTCTACGCTTGAAGAAGCTGAGGCACGGAGAAGTCACTCATCCGCGCTTCTCTAATGCCGGTGAGGGGCAGAGCCAGGAGTCAAACCCTGCCGGGCTGGCACCGGAGTCTGCCCTGGAATCTTTCCTCCCTGCTACCTTTCAAACAACATCAGATGAGTAAAGAAAGGGTAGCTGTGAGGACAGAACCACAAGGCACATCCCCTGGCAGGATAAAAGGAACTGCAAATGTAACAGAAGACACATAACAACAACTGAGGTTCAAGATGGAATAAACAAGATGGGTTAAAAACTTAGGGTGACTAAAAAAAAAAAAAAAAAAAGCCTAGGGTGAGAAGAACCAAGAAAAGGATTTGTGACCCTGTGTGCATGACCTTCAAAGAGTCACTGAAGCGGTGAGGGCAAACAAGAACAAAAAAGGATTTAAAGTGAATGCAAACAAAGGAAGGAAGGCACCAGAGTACCCAAGTAGGTCTGGCAGCAAAACCAAGGCAAAGTTTGATGGCAGAGAAGGGAAAGTCGGTAGACAAGAAACTGAAGATGTCAAAAACAAAGAAATAAAAGTCGTAACCAGATTTAAAATACACACACACATAAATATATATGTTAAGTTTTATTTAAGTAATCTCCACACCCCACTGGGGCTGGAACTCATGGTCAAGAGTCACATGCTCTTCCAACTAAACAAGCCAGGGGCCCCCAAAATAAATTACATGTTTTAAAAACTAAGACGACCCTACGATATTTTCTGCTAAGAAGAAAAATACCTGCCAAGCAACCGCGATACCGGGACTAGCTATGCTCACACCTGCTTACACCAAGAAGAACAAGAGGGCAACTCCAAGTCCCTCTGAGTTGTTCCTCTGTAGGGTCACAGCGTGTGTACAAATGGGCCGCTGGCGACTAGGAAGCCAGGTGAGTGGAGGGCGATTAACAACATCTCCCACACCTGCCTCAGCACAAGGGCCAGCCAGCACATTTCTAGCCCAGGCTCCGTCTCTGGAGAGTGGATCCAGCTGGTCCTGGGTGGGTAATTCTCAGCAAGTGCCACCAGGTGATCAGACAAGTTGACGAAATTAAGACAAATCGCTAGCGCTGGCCAAGTGTGCCCCGTGGCCCGGCTCCCCTCCCCCTTCCCTCCGCGGCCCCGCACGTCACGCTTACACACACCGGCAAAATGCACTTGAAGATGCCCGAATCTGACCTCAGTGTCCTTCACATCGGTCCCGAGTGGTCGCACATCACGAAGTCGGCTCACTGCCCTGGGCCTACGCTCTTCCCGGTAACTCGGCCGCCGCGCTCTGCAGCAGTCTTACAAGTGAGGGAAGCACAGGCGGACCGCACGTCTCCGGGCGGGAAAGCAACTGCACCCGCAGTGGAGGAAGACCGGGCGAGGCCGGCCTCATGCGCGCCGGGGGCTTGCCCGAGGCCGGGAGCCCGAAGCGAGGTCACCCCGGCCGCTCTGGACGTCGGGCTGAGCCGGCGGACGCCCCCTGAGGAGCCGGTGCGCAGGCCCCGGGCCAGCCGGGCACGGCTGTCCGAGGCCCGGACCACCTCGGCCGGACGGAGCGCAGCCGCGGACAGGCTGAGAGAGACGAGGCGGACCCTTCTCGGCCCGGGCCGCCGCGGTCCCCAGGCGACTCGGCGCAAGCGACGCGAAACGAGGGGCGGACGGGACCACCCCCGAGGGAGACCAGAGCGGAAAGGGGGACGCGGCGACGCGCGCGGAGGGGAGGCCAGAGCGGCCCCGCCCCTGTCTTCCTTACCTCACGGGCCCCCGCGGGCTCCGCGGCCAGCAGCACCCGGGCGGCAGCGGGGCAGCAGCCACAACAGTTGCGGGGGGTCCCGGCGCCAGAACGCGGGGAACGGGGCAGGGAAAGGGGCGGGGCGGAGGGAGCAAAAAGTTCCGGGGAAAGCCGGCGACCGCGACCTTCCGCGCTTTACGGCCCCCACAAGGGTACGCCGGCGCGAGATCGCTCCGGCGCACGCGCGCGCCGTGGCGGCCCCGCGGCGGCCCCGCCCCTGCCACGTGGGGCTTGTTTGGGTCTCGCCAGGCCCCGCCCCGGGCCTCTGGGCGGCCGCTGCGGTGGTGCGGGGCGGTCTCGGAGCTCGGGCCGCCGACCCGGTTGACCTCTGCAGCTGGAGCCGGGACGTCCGCGGTGGGCCGCTCGCCCTGCCGTGCTGTGGGCAGCGCGGGGCTTCGCTCTGCCCTCCAGGCGCGTTCCCACCTCCGTCCCCGGGTGGGTCGCGGCTCAAAGCCACTCTGGTCCAGGGCGCCAAAGGGCGTCTTGGACCCGCAGGCGCTCGGCTCCTCCTGGGCGAGGCTGTAGCGGAGCGCGACTGAAATCCGCCCCGCCGGCCTGGCCCGACCTGGGGGGCGGGATTTAGAGGCCCTGAGCTCTGGGCCGGGCGTCACTCTGCACCTTCCTGCCTTGTCTGCGCCGAGGAAATGGACTCATTCAGTCCATCTTCTGAGAAGGCCCCCGCCCCGCCCTCCCTTAGTGTCAGTGGCCCTGTTTTCTTTCCCTTGTGGAACTCGTCCCCCTGTACGGTCTGTGTTGGTGGACTGCCTTTCCCGCCAGTTGCAAGCCCTGCCCTCTCTCGACACAACCTCGGTCTTAGGCACGTCTTAGGCACGACTGCGTTCCCAGCACGTGCAGCCCTGCTTGGCGCGTCGTCCAGTCACTAGCTCTTTGAATGGAGAGCGTTCGGAGGGTACAGCGGCCCCTGCAGTTTGCGCCACACTCCCGTTTCCCGTTCGTTGAGTTCAGGCCCCCCTCGCCACACAAGCCCATCTTGTTTCCTTATGGCCTCTTTTGGCCAGGCACCGTGCTGGGCGATGGGATTCAGCAGTGCACAAGAAAGAGAGGGCTTCTTCCATTCGCGAGTGGCCAGAAAGCTCCGTGGCACCTCCGTGGCACCCCTGTGGCACCACGCCAGCCCCCAAGCTGCATGCTTTCTACCCCAGACGCGATCGCCAGTTAACTCACACGATACACGGCCGATGACTTCTGGCTGCCTGAGGACAGAAAGTCCGTCTCTGGCTAGTCGGATACGTGAAAGTTTAAGACGTTCCGGGCTTCTGTGCTAGAGAAATACTTTAATGTTTTGGCTAATGGCCGAGAGCTTGGTGTCACCTGACTGCCCATAAAGAAGAGGAGATAGACGAACTCATCTGAGCTGTATTCCTGGGGAAGTCTTTTCCTGATGCCCAGACGTGGCAATTTGGGGAGAAAACCTTCACAGGCTTTCCTGATGAGCAGCTTGACCTATGCCATTTGCAGGCTTATGAATTTGGGAGAAACCTCACTGTCTGTAGGAAACGGTGGGTGAAGTAAAGTGATCATTAAGGTGTTCATCCCATTCTGTGGACAAGCAGTGAGTGCTGAACAAGCTGTACAGATTTCTCCCTGCTTCCCTCAACCACCACTGTTGTTCTTCTCTGCAAAGTCCTAAGCCTCCTTTTATCGTCAACGTTGATTCTTGTACTTTGTAGGCTCTCATACCCACCAACTGCACTATTCTTCAAGAGGATTGAATATTTTAATCTTTTTTGGCTACTCCTTGTCTGAGAAAGGTCACAGTGGTTTCCTGTACTATAGACACTTCACAGAACAGAGCATCCCATGCACAATTACACATGTCCTGGTAGGACTTTATTCGCTTGATGTTTGGATTCACCTTTGCAAACCTTCTGCCTTGTTGGTTTTCTGTCTCTCAAGGACAGAAATTACAAGGGGTGGGGAAGGTATTTCTGGCATCTCTTTCAAAAGATCTGTGCCAGGATCTTTTGATCCTTTGCACACCAAGGACTGCAGCTGGGAGCACCTCTCTTCTCCAAGCCGGGTTCTCGTGCCTTACCCCAGAATGTCTCTACACCCAATGGTGGGTGTAGACAGGAAAGAGAAAAAGAAAGTAGCTTCACTCATTCTCCATGGGGGATGGGTTCCCATCCTCCCCCCAGAGCCTCCTGTCCCCAGATCAAGCGCCTTTCTGCAGCTTGTTTCAGTCAAAGGGTTTCTAGCAGAACAGTTCACCCTTCACTCTCGGGTCTACTCTTGGGATCTGGGAAATGCCATTGTAATGATTGTACAGGGACGTAACTCCTTATTTACCTTTGTAAGTGTGCAGTTCCCTCAGCCCCTTCCTGTCCCTGCGTGGCGACAGCACGAGGTCCTGAGGACGTTTGGGGCACTTTAGGGGATGGGATCTTTCTCAGGAGCCCTGCTGATCTTAGGCACCCAGAGCGACCAGCATTTCTGAGTCCATGAAGGCGGTAGTAACATCGTGCCCTGTATTTCTATCAAACCAGATTTTAATTAAGATGTTCTTTTCATGCTACTAGGTTTGTAAGTGAATAAACAGACCTGTTCATTACTCTGGCCGTGGCTGCTTGTGAAACGTTCTTCATCTCTGGTGGCTGTGTGTCGTATTTGCCATCACAAAGGCTAAACGTGGTACATAAAACCGTTTGCATCTGTGTTAGCAGAGTGTGAAACAGACTCTGGACGCCCAGGGACAGCAGACACGGACAGACACTACAGCACCGTCCATGCGGCGCGGGCCTGCCTGGGGACAGAGGGCCTCCCTTCCTCCTTCCGAAGGTTACGAGGACTCACACCTGAGTCTTTAACCCACGAAACCGGTGAACTAGTGAAGTAAGTGCTGAGCATGTGCTAGACGCCAGTGGGGGTGCCTTAGAATCATCTGGGGCACCTAAAGCAATCCCCTCCACGTGAATTGGAATCAACAGGACTGGAGATCTGATCAGTACTTCTCCAGAGACTTCCAGCAACTTCTCTTGTGTCTCGAAACCACTGGATGCCACCTGTTGAAGAGTCCGCAGGACACGTGGTAGTTGTTGAGAGATCTGTGGGGTTAGGGAGGACTTTCGCTGGTCCCTGAGCAGGACAAGGTGTTTCTTACACATCATCCCATGTAATCTTTATGACAGTCTCAGGAGGTGAGGTTTTAGCAGATGATGGAGACTCAGAAGGAACCTGACGTTTCCAAGATCACACAGCTTGGGGGAAGATCTGGAAATGAACCCAAAGGTGCTGCGTTATAGCACCGGGCAGGTGGCCAGGAGGCCATTTGAGGCTGGGTCAGGGAGCGAGAAAAGAGCACACAGGGTAACAGGGAGGTGCTCCCTGGCTGTGGTACACTGGACATTTTCAGTTCCTCGTTCATCTGCCCCGTGAGCTTGCAGCGCATGACTGGCTTGGTCATGTTGGTTGGCGTCAGCCATGCTGAGACCTTGCTTTAAAAGCTAGGCAACCGCCACCGTGTGCAGGTGGAGCGACCGAGGCCTTCAGGCGAAACGTGCGTGGTCATCAGCCCTCCCGGGTGCCGCTGTCATCATTAGATGGTGCCCTGAGTAGCTACCGTATCTCAGAGGATCACGCGGCATGAGCGACAGACGCGGGAAACAGATGGGACCCCGCCCTGAAGCAAAGCCCACTGACCCGCAGCCTAAGTCGGCTGCCCAGCCAAACCACGGTCACCGCAGGCCCAGAAGCACGAGACAAAATGCTGGTGGAAGGCACCAGGTCTTGGGCTGGTTTGGACGCCGCCTTGTGCAGCTCAAGTAGGGGGTCTCTGACAGTGTAGCCATGTAGGAATGATGCCATCACGGCCTCATCCCCTTGAGGAATTCTCCACTCCCTGCCAACTTGGAGTCACTGGTCTTTATTCTGCTCATCCAAGCAATGTTCCAGCAGCTACAGGTGGGAATCCCCCAGGCTAACACGTCAGGAACAACCTCATCATCCTGTCTTCCAAGTCTCCTATTATTTCCCGTCCATGAACCGTCAACTGAGCCCCAAACCGGGGAGTCATCTGGTCACCCCACTGGCTTCTCTCTGTACCTCTAGTTCATCACCCAGCTCAACCGAGTCTGTGTCCCCAGATCTCTCGTCTCTCCTGGCCTCTCGTTCCCCACCCCCGCTGCTGGAGGTCAGAGAGTTGGCATCCCTTGCTGCGATGATCATCCCTAAAAGGATGGTCCCTGCTTCTGGTGTCACCCCATCCTCACTCTGCAGGGTTGTCTTTCCCAAGCACGTCAGATCATTTTACGCACTGGCTTAACCTAACAGCTCCTCGGGACTCCCCGTTGTTGGGGAGACGTGTTCAGACTCCTTAGCGTGGCGGAGCACGGTCTCCATGGTGGGACCGGCAGAGGTGCCCCAGGTGGCTCTGGGGCCAACTGCGTGCGAGGCTGGGGCCCGAATCCTGACCCATTTGCCCCCCGTGTGCGACTGATCCCATCTTACACCCTGCTCTCAAGTCCCACTCCGCCAAACACATCTTTTGCTCGCTAAGATGTCCTTTCCGGCCCCTGTCCTTCTGTGCTTGGGGAAGAGTCCTGACTTGAGAATCAAATGATCCCCCGTCGCCCCTCCCATCAGCCTGGCAGACGCCTCCAGAATTTCAAAACCTCAGCCCACCATCACCAGCATCTCCTCGGTGAAGCCTTTCCTTCCCACGACAACTGGCCTCCCTTTGGTGTGCCCACTCTACTCTTTTCCACCTCTGTCTTTACTGTTTTTTCCCCTACTCGTCTGTCAATCCCTCTGAGGAGGACTGGCTTCTCTGAACCCCCAGCATCTGGCATCATGCCTGGCATCTATCACATGATTGAGCGAATGGGGGAAAGTAGCGAGCAAAAGCTGTGTTTGCCAATCTGTAAAATGGGGATAAGGTCCTGGCCTCAGAGAGCAGGGGGCAT